CACTCCCCCCCACACACACACACCACCTACACACACCACTCCCCCCCACACCCCATTCTCACCCACACACCACTCTTCCCCATGCACCACTCCCATACAGACACCCCCCCCCACACACACACCACTCCACATATACACACCAATCCCACACATGCACACAGACAACACTGTCACACACACACCATTCCCACACACAGACACCATTCCCACACACACAGACACCACTCCTTCACCACACCACTTCCCCCCGCACACTACGCCACTCCAACACACACGCCACTCCCGCGCACACAAATGCCACTCCCACAGACACACCCACCACTACCCCACACCACTCACTACACACACACCACTCCCCCTCACACACACCACTCACTGCCACACGCATCACTCACTGCCACACACACGCACCACTCCCCCCCTCCACACGCACCACTCCCCCCCCCCCACACACACCACTCCCCCCCCCCACACACACCACTCCCCCCCACCACACCCTCCCCCCCACACCACTCCGCCCCCCACACCACTCCGCCCCCCACACCACTCCGCCCTCCACCACACCATTCCCCCCCCACACACCACCCCACCCCCACACACCACTCCCCCCCCACACACACCACTCCCCCCCCACACACACCACTCCCCCCCCCACACACACCACTCCCCCCCCCACACACACCACTCCCCCCCACACACCACTCCCCCCCACACACACACCACTCCCCCCACACACACACACCACTCCCCCCCCACACACACACCCCACTCCCTCCCACACACACCACTCCCACATACACACACCTCTCCACCACCCCATACACACATCACTCATACCCACATGACACTCGCCCTCACACGACACCCGCCCTCACACACCCGCCCTCACACACCCGCCCTCACACACACACCACTCCCCATATACACACCACTGCTACACATGCACACCACTCCCCCCCACACCACTCCCACATATACACACAACTCCAACACACACCACGCCCACCCACCCACACCACTCCCCCTACACTCACACACACTCCCCCACCCCCCGCCCAAACACATCATTCCAACACACACACACAACTCCCACACACACACAACTCCCACACACATACCAGTCCCCCCCACTACGCACACTACTCCCCCACACCCACCACTCCCACACACACATCACTCCCACACATGCACCACACCCACACACACACCACTGCCACATGCACCACTCCCCCCCACACACCTCTCTACCACCCCATACACACGCCACTCACACCCACATGACACTCGTCGTCACGACACTCACCCTCACACACACGCCACTCACACACACCAAGCCTTGCCACAAACACTCCCACACCCACACCTTTCTCACCCACACACCACTCTTCCCCATGCACCACTCCCATACAGGCACCCCTCCCCCCACCCACACACACACCACTCCACATATACACACCAATCCCACACATGCACACAGACACCACAGACACCATTCCCCCACCACACCACTTCCCCCCACACACTACGCCACTCCAACACACATGCCACTCTCGCACACACGCCACTCCCACAGACACACCCACCACTACCCCACACACCACTCCCACACACACATCACTCCCACACACACCACTCCCCCCCCCCCACACATACCACTCCCACACACATACCAGTCCCCCCCACACACACCACTCCCTCACACCGACCACTGCCCCACACACACACCACTCCCACACACACCAGTCCATCCCCACCCCAACACACACACCACTCAAACACACACGCCACTCCCGCGCACACACACCGCTCCCACCCCACACATGCACCACTCCCACACACACCATTCTCAGCCACACACATCACTCCCACACACACACTACTCTCCCCCCCTCACACCACATCCCACCCACCCCTCCCACACACACCCCTCGCCCCCCACACACATTCCACCCACCCCTCCCACACACACTCCTCCCACACACACCCCTCTCCCCCCCACACACCCCTCGCCCCCCCCACACACACTGCTGGCCCACCCCCACACACACTGCTGGCCCACCCCCACACACACTGCTGGCCCACCCCCACACACACTGCTGGCCCACCCCCACACACACTGCTGGCCCACCCCACACACACTGCTGGCCCACCCCCACACACACTGCTGGCCCACCCCCACACACACTGCTGGCCCACCCCCACACACACAACGCTGGCCCAACCCCACACACACCCCTGGCCCAACCCCACACACACCCCTGGCCCAACCCCCCACACACACCCCTGGCCCAACCCCCCCACACACACCCCTGGCCCACCCCCCCACACACACCCCTGGCCCACCCCCCACACACACCCCTGGCCCACCCCCCCACACACACCCCTGGCCCACCCCCCCACACACACCCCTGGCCCACCCCCCACACACACCCCTGGCCCACCCCCCACACACACCCCTGGCCCACCCCCCACACACACCCCTGGCCCACCCCCCCACACACACCCCTGGCCCACCCCCCACACACCCCCCTCGCCCCCCCCACACACACCCCTCAGCCCCCCCCACACACACACCCCTCACCCACCCCCACACACACTGCTGGCCCACCCCCACACACACAACGCTGGCCCAACCCCACACACACCCTGGCCCACCCCCCCACACACACCCCTGGCCCACCCCCCCACACACACCCCTGGCCCCCCCCCCCAAACAAACATCCCTGGCCCACCCCCACACCACCCCCCCACACATACCCCTGGCCCACCCCCACACACACCCCTCGCGCCCCCACCACATTCCACCCACCCTTCCCACACACCCGCCCCCCCAAACAAACATCCCTGGCCCACCCCCACCCCACCCCCCACACACACCCCTCGCCTACCTCCACACACCCCTTGCCCCCCCCCCACCACATTCCACCTACCCTTCCCACACACACACACCCCTCACCCACCCCCCCCTGCACAAATAGGTACCACTGTCCCACCCCACATACCGCCAATCCTGCCCCACACACATATCACTCATCCCCCCCAACACATATCACTCACCCAATACACCCCCCTCCACACAGTCACTCACAAGTCTAGACACACACACAAAAACAGTAGTAATACCACCCTTATTGACAAATTAATCATTTGTATTGTTACGGTGTCTTTCACATGAAACAATGAGTGAGGTAACTGCAGATGCAGTTGAACAGGTAGGTTTTCACGAGTCTCATAAAAACTGATAATAATAATGCTAATCCTTGTGAGGGGCTAAGGGGGTGGCCTGGAGTCTAGCAGCCTAGTGACTGAAGGATTGGCCACTAATCGTGACACACAGAAGAGTTTGCCAAAAGAAAGCGGCAAGCAAGAGACTGATGCTGGAAAAGATCACAGAAGGAGGGAGAGGCCTGCGTGTTACTGAGAATCTTGAAGTAAATCCACTGTCAGGGAAACAATGGAGACTGGCAAAGGCTGGAGATGTTAGGGACACAGACCGTAAGGTAGGTAAGGATGTGAGCAGCTAAATTGTGGGTGAGCTGAAGCTTGTGGATGTTGAGCTGTGGAGGTTTGCAAAGAAGGCATTGGAGAACGCTAGTCATTAGGTAACGAAGGCATGGAAAGGGCTTGGCCACATTGGGAGTTAAGTATGGACGAACGCAGATGATTGGGCAAAGATAACTGTTTTGGGGTCAGCCATGTATCTGACACATGCAGAGGAGGTTTGTACATTGCGAAACAACAAATTAGAAAGAATTATGAATACTTAGAAACCTGTTCAGCAGTCGAGGCACCCACCTCCAGCGTCTGCGACTGGTGCATTGACTTGATCGCATTCTGTGCCATTGATCGTGTGGCAAATGTTATAAAGGCACAACCTGGCAGAGAGAATAGGGTTAACACTGCAGAGCACAGATGCTAACTAAATACAAACTGTCTCTCCCTTCCCCCTTTCCCACACTCTCTCTCCCCACTTTCCCACACTCTCTTGCTCTCTCTCTCTCCCACCTTACCCACAATCTTTATTCTCCTAGCGAGACTTTAACTGAACAAATGAATTCTTATTTACACACAAACTATGGGCAGTGAGGCATCATTTACTCACCTCGACTTAGCCCGTCTGGCCCTCGCAATATCCGACATTCTTCAATCTGTCCAAATGGTGAAAACATAACTCGAACATCGTTCTCATTGCATTTTTTGGAAATCATTCCAACAAAGAGCTTTCTGTCTTCCACGGCTGCAATCACACAATGGTATCTATCATAACAGGCACTTACTACATACTTACTGAAATAATATCTTTGCAGCTTCCAATGTTCTTCACCACTCCCTTAGAAAGTTCTCTATAACTTAGTTAGAGCACCACCTCTCCTCCTCATGATAGCCTAAGCCAACTCTCTAATCCCAATCAGTGAAAACTCTAGGCTATTTTGTACATAATTCTGCTGTTTGACAGTAAGCTGAGACCCAAATTTTAGAATGAGATTCTGAATAGCATTGAAACACTAGTTTTCCATCCCACAGTAATATCACTTCAATAACAACAGCAACAAGATTACATTTGTATAGGGCCTTTGGACTGTCTGTTGCTCTGAGCATTTGAAATGACCTAACAGCATTAACAATTGTGAAGGATAAAAAGGATAGAAACAGGTTGATAACAGAGTTGAGCCAATAAATTGACATTATCACAGTCTGCCAACTGGTTCACCTCAAGAAGTGATCAAAGATAGTGATCATATTCCTACCAATCTGTCTCAGGTAACAGGCTCTAGGTCATTCAACTAGCAGAAAAAGTGATGAGCTGGAAATACGAACCATCATACAACATGCAGAAAAAAAACTAACAGGAAATAGATAGCAGGCATACACAGTCATGTACTCATGAGATGTACTCAGCCTTTGTGTACATTAGTCTCAGCATTAACAGCCAGGCCCTAACTCACCATTGTTCTTCTCACTGTCTGCTGGCTTCATCTGGATAGGGTGATGCATCTGGGGAAAAAACAGAGGTATTGACAATTTTCAGGCTGTTGGACTTCGGAACTTTCCAAATACGTCAGAGATCATCAGCCCCTGAGGCTCATTGTAAATAGTGACAGCCGCGCACAACAACAAGATTAATTGAGTTCAATTCCAGGCAGAGGGCGAAACCTCGGGCAAGTTTCCTTACTCCACACAGAGCCTAATAATAATCCTTCAAAACCAAAACAATAATAAATTGGTCATTTTCAATCTGCCACTGTCTGTGGGACATTGCTGTGCACAATTGGCTGTCGCGTTCGCCCACAAATATACAGTCAATTCACTTTACAGTGTGTTCTGTGAAGCGCTTTGGGACGTCCTCCCGACGTGAAAAGCGCTATATCAAATGCAAGGATTATTATTATTATTATTTTTATAGCACCTTTCACGCTTGGAGGACATCCAAGGCAGTGGCAGCATTTCAGACCCGAGCTGGGGGTCGGGGGGGAGAAGGGAGGGGAGGGGAAGGGGGGTGACCGATGGCATGGTCGAAGAGGAGGGTTTTGAGGCGGGACTTGAAGGAGGCTAAGGAGGGGGCGAGACAGAGTGATTGGGGGATGGAGTTCCAGAGGTTGGGGGCAGAGTGGCTGAAGGCTCTCCAGCCAATGGTGGGTCGGGGGACTTGGAGCAGCCAGAGCGGCTGAGGGGAGGGAGCGGGCGGGTTGGTAGTGGGTTAGGAGGTCGCAGAGGTAGGGTGGGGCGAGGCCATGGAGGGCTTTGTATGTGAGGACCAGGATCTTCAACTGGATCCTCTGAAGGATAGGGAGCCAATGGAGTCGGGCGAGAATTGGGGCGATGGTGTCACAGAGTTTGGTGCAGGAGAAGACATGGACTGCAGAGTTCTGGATTATCTGCAGCCTGTGGAGGGAGGAGTTGGGAAGGCCGACAAGCAGGGCTTTGCATAGTCGAGCCTGGAGGTGATGAAGGCATGAACAAGAGTTTCAGCGCCTGAGGGGTGAGGTAGTGGCGAAGTCGGGCGATGTTACGGAGGTGAGGGAGGCAGAGCGGGTCATGGCTTGAATGTGGGGAACAAAAGGCAGTTGAGGGTCGAACAGGACACCCAGGTTCCTGACGGGCTGGTGAGTTGAAGTGTGTAACCATGGAGGTTGATGTTGCCCGAGCCTGAGTTGCGGAGGCGCTGGCGGGAGCGAATCAGGAGGGCCTCAGTCTTGTTCATATTCAACTGTAGGAAATTTGCCCTCATCCAGGACTTGATGTCCGACAGACAGTCAGGTCAGCAGTGGTCCTGGAGTTGAGGGTGGGGGCAGAAAGATAGAGTTGGGTGTCATCCGCATACATATGAATGTTGACCCCATATCTGCGGATGATGTCACCAAGCGGGAGTATGTAGATATTAAAGAGGAGAGGGCCAAGGACAGAGCCCTGGGGGACGCCAGATGTGACAGTGCGGGGGCTGGAGGAGAAACCGTTAGAGGCAACAAAGTGGAGACGGTGAAAGAGATAGGAATCGAACCAGGCAAGGGCTGGTCCGCAAAGATTAAGTAAAGAGGAGAGGCGGTGTATGAGGATGGAGTGGTCGAAAGTGTCGAAGACAACAGAGAGGTCGAGGAGGACAAGGAGGCAGAGGGAGCCCTGATCACAGATGTTCAGAATGTCGTTAGTGACTGTGACCGGGGCTGTTTCCATGCTGTGGACAGCGCGGAAGCCGGATTGGAGGGGTTCAAAGAGGGAATGGCGAGAGAGAAAGGAGCGGAGCTGGGACACGATGACTCATTCCAGGACCTTGGAGAGGAATGGGAGGTTAGAGATGGGGCGGTAGCTGGAGAGTAGGGATGGGTCCAGGAAAGGTTTTTTCAGGATGGGGGTGATGACGGCTGTTTTTAGGGGGCTGGGAACTGAACTGGTGGTCAAGGAGAAATTGATGATGTCGGACAGGAGAGGGGCCGAAGGTGGAGCTGGGAGACGAGGAGAGATCCCAACTTCCACATCCCAACTCCTCCGTCCCCCCCGCCACCCCGCGCAGGTCATCTCCTCCAACCTTCACTGCGAGGAGATGCTGGATTTCCTTGAATCCAAGATCAAGGGAATCCGCTCCGCGGTCACTTCCCATCCAACATCCACCCACCCCCCACCCCTTCTCTCCCACACTCCGACTCCTACCCATCCTCCCCTACACACCTTCGTACCCGTTTCCCCATCCTCTGTCACCAAACTCATCCTCTCCCTGAAACCTACCACCTGCTCCCTTGACCCCATCCCCACTCCTTATCTCCCAGCTCCACCTCCTTGCCCAACATATCACAGACATCGTCAACCTGTCCCTCTCCTGTGGCTCTATTCCCATTCCCTTAAAAACTGCCACCATCACGCCCACCCTGAAAAAACCCTCCCTTGATGCGTCGCAGCTATCAATCTCCGGCCCATCTCCAACCTCCCCTTCCTATCCAAGGTCCTGGAACGAGTTGTCGCCTCCCAACTGCGCTCTTTCCTCTCCAACCATTCACTATTTGAACCCCTTCAGTCGGGTTTCGGTGCTGCCCATAGCACAGAAACTGCCCTGGTCAAGGTCACCAATGACATCCTGACCATCTGTGACCAGGGCTCCCTCTGCCTCCTCGTCCTCCTCGACCTATCGGCAGCATTCGATACGGTCGACCACGCTATCCTCCTCCACCGCTTGTCCTCCCACCTAAACCTTCAAGGCCCTGTCCTTGAGTGGTTTAGGTCGTACCTCTCCCACCGTCTTCACTTTGTCTCCTCAAATGGTTTTTCCTCCCCCCCCCCCCCCGCACTGTCTTGTGCGGTGTCCCTCAAGGCTCTGTCCTCGGTCCCCTCCTCTTCACCCTCTATATGCTCCCCCTGTGGTGACATCATCCGCAGACATGGGGTTAACTCCCACATGTATGCGGATGACACCCAACTCTACCTTTCCTCCTCTACCCTCAACTCCACGACCCCCGATGTCCTGACAGCTGACTGTCCGACATCGAGTCCTGGACGAGAGATAACTTTCTTCAGCTCTACGTACGCAAAACTGAGGCCCTCCTGATTGGCTCACGTCAGCGCCTCCGCACCTCAGGCGCTGACAGCATCAGCTCCGCACTCTCCACCTCTCAAAGCCATCAGGAACCTTGGGGTTCCCCTCGACCCTGAGCTGTCCTTTCTCCCCCATATCCGCACCACAACTGGCACCGCCTTCCATCATCTCTGGAATGTCACCAGACTACGGCACTACCTCATCCCTCACGCGGCTGAAACTCTGGTCCACGCCTTTATCACCTCAAGGCTGGACTATGGGAACTCTCTCTTCGTCGGCCTTCCCGGCCCTCCCTCCACTCTGCAGCTCGTGTACTGTCCCGCACCAGACACCGCGACCACATCACTCCCACCCTCGCCCTCGCCCTCGCTCCCCTCCACTGGCTCCCCATCCCCCAGAGGATCGAATTCAAGATCCTCACCCTCACCTACAAGGCCATTCACGGCCTCGCTCCCTCCTACCTCTCCGACCTACTATCCCCCTACCTACCTGCCCGTACCCTCCGTTCCTCTGGCTCCGGTCTGCTCCACGTCCCCCGCCCCAACCGCCCTACCATCGGTGGTCGGGCCTTCAGCCTCTCAGCCCCAGGCTCTGGAACTCCATCCCCCAGTGCCTTCGCCGCTTCCTCCCTTTCCTCCTTCAAGGCCGGTCTCAAAACCTTTCTCTTTGACCGAGCCTTCAGCTCCCCTCTCGACTCTCTTCCCCCTCCTCGCTCCCTCCCTTCCCTCCCCTCACCCTGACCATTTCCCCACTCCTCGCTCCCTCCCTTCCCTCCCCTCACCCTGACCATTTCCCCCCTGCTCGGGTCATGACCCAACTGTGCAGCGCCTTGGGACGTCCTCCTGACGTGAAAGGCGCTTTATAAATGGAATCTTGTTGTTGTTGTTGTATCGGTGGCCTTCAGCCTCTCAGCCCCGAGGCTCTGGAACTCCATCCCCCAGTGCCTTCGCCGCTTCCTCCCTTTCCTCCTTCAAGGCCGGTCTCAAGACCTTTCCCTTTGACCGAGCCTTCAGCTCCCCTCTCGACTCTCTACCCCCTCCTCGCTCTCTCCCTTCCCTCCCCTCACCCTGACCATTTCCCCCCGGCTCGGGTCCTGACCCAACTGTACAGCGCCTTGGGACGTCCTCCCGACGTGAAAGGCGCTCAATAAATGGAATCTTGTTGTTGTTGTTGTTGTTGTGGGGATGGGATCGAGGGAGCAGGTGGTGGGGTTGAGTTTGCTAGCAATCGCGGTGAGGGAGCAGGGAGAGATGGGGTCGAAGGAGTATAGGGGGGATGGGTGGGGGGTGGGTCATGAGGGAAAGGTGATGTGGGGGTGGCTGTGGACGGGGCTGAGGTGGCTGAACGTATCCCCTCAATTTTGGATTCGAGGAAGTCCAGTATTTCCTCACAGTTGGCGTTTGAGGAGAGGATGGGTGAGGTATGGGAAGGTGAACGGAGGAGATGGTTAGTGGTGGAAAAGAGAAGCCGGGGTTGTCCTTTGCCTCCAAGATGACCTTGGAGTAGAAGGAGGGTTTGGCAGAGGCAAGAGCGCAGCGCGTTCGGCAGCTCGCACTTGTGCCTTGAGGGAACGGAGATGGCTGGTGTACCAGGGAGATTTACGGGAGTATGAGGCAGTTTGGGAGGTGAGGGGGNCAAGAGTCCAGAATGGAGGAGGGGGAGTTGTGGAGAAAGGAGAGTGAGGAGGGGAGATCTGTCAGGGAGCGCCAGAGGTGAAGGAGTTCAGATGCAGTCATCTGAGTCCAGGGCACACAGCCATCCACGCACACGCCCAGCAGCACAGCCGCGCACACGCCCAGCAGCACAGCCGCGCACACGCCCAGCAGCACAGCCGCGCACACGCCCAGCAGCACAGCCGCGCACACGCCCAGCAGCACAGCTTGGCCGTGGTCCTGATTGCACCTTTGAGGTATGTTTAGTGAAAGCTAAAGATTATTATTATCACTATTATTAAAGCTGGATGTGGACTGAGGGTGACCACAATGGACAGAAAAGCTAAACACTGAGCCCAACCCAACCCAGGTAATAAATATTTAAATACTAAGCAATTTTCAGAAAGGTTTAAAACCTTTCTGAGAATTGCTTCGTATTTAAATATTTTAAGTGCTTGTTATTTGTATTTGAAGGATTCCCCAAACACGTGCAACACTGAGGCATCAGCCAAGTGAGACCAGGAACTGCGCACAGCAACATGGCAACATTGAGAAAGTCTGAACGAGATCAGTAAACCAAGGAAACTAGAAGCAACTTTCAGACTAGACCATGAGTCTCCTCTGTACCATCCCCCCACCAACAAATGGCTTTCATGTCAGTGAACTTCTGACAATACCATAAATGTCTTCTCCTCTGGCTTCATTCCCCAATGGATCTCCTCCTTTTTCATACAATCTACAGGATTTGGGCTGCAAGCTTGTGCCACTAACTTCAAGGTATTTTCTTTGACTTCCCCACTCTTACCAGCCTCAGTGCTACACAAAACTTTTCACCAAGGATTCATAATAAACAGGCATATGCGCAGTATTAAGATCAGCATCAGTGTGTGCAAACCAGAAACTGGATCAGGGTGCTTTAAACTTAGGAAAAGGATATTAAAGCTTTTGTCATTAGCTCAATACCGGTTTTACAACACATTTCTACTGAGGTACAGTTATGACAGAAAGTAAGGATCTCTTACCCCAGGCAGTATCTTCATGTTGTGAAGAGCATTTTGTGCTTCTAACGCCGCTTTACGGGTATAAAATGTTACAAAACAACAACCTATGATCAAAACAAACATATGTAAATAAGACAAAAATCTGGAGACCTCTGTTGTCAAACCTGCAATCAGATATGTTCTCACCTTTCTCAGTTTTAATAAGGAGTGCCCCAGTTTCTTTAATCTCTCATAAGCAAAACAACAACAACAAAATTCCATGTGTAAAGCACCTTTCATGTCGGGAGGACTTCTCAAGTCGCTAGACAGACAGAGTTACGGACCCGAGCTGGGGGTCGCGGTGGGGGAGGGGGGTTAGGGGGAGAAGCAGGGAGATCATAGGCAGGTCGAAGAGGAGGGTCTTGAGATGGGTCTTGAAGGTGGCGAGGGAGGGAGTGTGGCAGAGGTCCTGCGGAATGGAGTTCCAGAGGGTGGGGGCAGAGTGACGGAAAGCCCGCCCGCCAATAGTGGGGCCAGCAAGGCGGCAGACATGAAGCAAGCTGGAGCCCGCTGATCAGGGTGGTAGGGGTTTAGGAGGTCGAAGAGGTTGGGGGGAGCAAGACCATGGCGGGCTTTGAAGATGAGGACCAGGATTCTGAACTTTATCCTCTGTGTGATGGAAAGCCAGTGGAGTCGGGTGAGGATGGGGTGATAGGGTCATGGAACCTAGTGCAGGAGAGGACATGGGCTGCAGAGTTCTGGATGATCTGCAAGCAAGGAGTTTGAGTAGTGAAGCCTCCATGTAATGAAGGCGTGTATGAGGGTCTCGGGGCCTGCGGCATGAGACAGTGTGGGAGCCGGCCAATGTTGCAGAGGTGGGGAAGGCAGAACGGGTCATGGCACTGATGAGGGGGAGAAAGGATAGTTGAGGGTCAAACAAGACCCCAAGGTCTGTCTGTCAGGACAGCAGTGGATCCTGGAGTCAAGTGGGGGGCAGAGAGAGAGAGTTGGGTGTCATCCGCATATACATGTGGAAGTTGACCCCATGTCTGCTGATGATGTCACCAAGAGGGAACATGTAGATGTTGAAGAGGAGGGGACCAAGGACCGAGTCCTGAGGAACGCCGCACGAGACGTCCGGGGGCTAGAGGAGAAGCTGTTTGTGGAGATGAATTGCAGACGGTGTGAGAGGTAGGATCTGAACCAGTCAAGGACAGAGCCGTGGGGGTTGAGGTGAAAGGAGAGTGGTGGATGAGGATAGTGGTCGACGGTGTCGAAAGCAGGACGAGGAGGCAGAGAGAGGCCTGGTCACAGATGAACAGAATGTCATTTGTCACTTTGACCAGAGCTGTTTCTGTGCTGTGGGCGGTACGGAAACCAGAGAAGGGAGTGACGGGAGAGGAAGGAGTGAAGCTGAGAAGCAACAACTCGTTCCAGGACCTTGGAAAGGGAGGTTGGAGAAGCGGCGGTAGTTTGGGAATAGGTAAGGATCCAGGGAGAAGCACTCACCTTTACTTTGAGGGGGATTCTGACTTCGATCTCGCAGCACGTTGATTTCGTACACAGCGCCATACTGCTCAAAAAGTTCTTTCAATTCTTTCTCTGACCAGGAACGTGGAATCTGTCCTACAAACATCTTAATGGAGTCAATGTCAGGCTGGTCGGGGTGATCCAGAGTCCCATTCATTTTTTTTGATCTGTACAATCAAGCAGAATCCAAGCTAAATCTGCAGTGAAGCTGGAAATGGTGCACAGGTCTGACAAGGATAAAAGTTCACGTTTCACTTTGACAGCAATGGGCTGGAGACAGTAGTTTAAACTCACCAACTACTTGCTGAAAATGAAACAGACTGAAATGTTGTACATGGAATAAAAATGACTTCACAACAGCAACTTGTATTTGATTAGCACCTTCAGGAAAAGGATATTTTGAAGTACTCAACAATTAGAGTGGTGGGCACCAGGCTGTGAAAATAAGGTTGACCAAAGGCATAACTGGAGATATGTTTTAAAAGTACTTTAAACGCAGGGAGAGGTCTAGCACTGTGAAGAGTTTTCAGAACACATAGGCATGATGGGTGAAGCATTGCATTATATAGACTCCAGTGATGAAATAGAGGAAACTAGATAAATACTTAAGAGTCAGCTGCAGAGGTATAGTCTAGAAGACGTGAAAAGCGCTATATCAAATGCAAATGTTTAATTTATGTTTATATTCACATCAAGGGACACAGTTTATATTTACTTCATGGTGGCTACTGGCCCAGGTGGAATGGCGACGAGGGAGGCGTTCCTGTCGGCTGAAGTAAATCCTGTTAAGTGGTTTGAGACATCCTCCCAACATGAAAGGCGAAATACTAAATGTAAGCATTATTTGAATAGAGGAAATAGGGTATAGATGAGTATTGTGGACTGTAAGTTACATTCAAACAACAGTAATTTGCATTTATATAGCACCCTTCACACATGGTAGCGCTTCAGAGAGTTTAACAGTGGCAGAGCCTGACACCAAGTGGGGAGGGGGGGGGGCGGCTGCGAGTGCCCATAAGCATGGTTGAAAAGGAAATCTTCAGGCATGACCTGAAAATGGGGAAGGAGGGAGCAAGGCAGAGGGATCGTTCCAAAATGTCAGGGAGTACTGGCTGAAAGCACAGCCGCCGATGGTGCTGTGGATGAAGGACAAGCAGGAGACTGAAGCCAGCCTTGTGGGGTAGATAGGAGAGCTGGGGATCAAACCCAAAGTCTATGTTACGAACAAGGTCAGTAAAGCCTCAGGGAAAGGCTGGGAAGTTCAGGAGTTCAGCCGCGGGACAGACAGAAGGCAAGGAGTATGGCTTCCATCTTGTCGACATTCAACCGCTGATGGCATCATTGAGAGGGAACATGTAAATAAGGAAAAGAAGGGGTCCAAGGATAGAGCCTCGTTGTACCCCACAGGTGGGCGGGGGGGGGGGGGTGGGTAAGAGTTTGAGGAGACAAAGTGATGGCAGTAAAGTAGGACTCGAAGCAGGCCTCCTGAGGTGGATGAGGAACGAATGATCACCAAAACCACCCAACACCTTGCATTTATATAGCAAGCTTCATTCATGTGGGGTATTGTCTCAGAATGCTGACCAGGGAGAGAGCACTGATGTAGAACCGGCCCCCAGATAGTCATTGCAGAATTGCCAACTAAGCTGAAATACTTCTGTATCCTGTAGCTCAGTGGTTAGAGCACTCGCTTTGCAAGTGAGAGACCTGAGTTCAATTCCAGGCAGAGGGCGAAACCTTGGGCAAGTTTCCTTACTCCACACAGAGCCTAATAATAATCCCTCCAAAACCAAAAACAATAATAAATTGGTCATTTTCAATCCACGACTGTTTGTGGGACATTGCTGTGCGCAATTGGCTGCCGCGTTCCCCCACAAATATACAATCAATTCACTTTACAGTGTGTTCTCTGAAGCGCTTTGGGACGTCCTCCCGATGTGAAAAGCGCTATATCAAATGCAAGGATTATTATTATTATTATAACAGATAGAAGATAAGCAACCAATGGAGAGATAAGTCAGGCATTGAAATAATGTGAGAAACATCTGCCAATACGTTTGCTAGGTGCACAATCAAAGGCCCGGTACAAAAGTTCCAAGTGCAGAAAGCTAACAGTCAACCGAGCTCAGGCACAAATATCTTCACCTGCTTCTATATATTCCATTCTGGACAACAGTACATCATTACAGGCTGTGAATTCAAGCAGGAGCTGGTCAGAACAATGGTGCTGGACACGAGGGTGGGCACAGATGAAGTGCTGACACAAGGAGGGATTTTAAGATGGACCACAAACAATTTTAATGATATCAGCTGCACAAATAAATTTATAATAAATTGGTCATTTTCAATCCACGACTGTTTGTAGGACATTGCTGTGCACAATTGGCTGTCGCGTTCGCCCACAAATATACAGTCAATTCACTTTACAGTGTGTTCTGTGAAGCGCTTTGGGACATCCTCCCGACGTGAAAAGCGCTATATCAAATGCAAGGATTATTATTATTATTATATAAATCTCCTTTGAGCAGGAAGCAAATAATGGGGCTACTGCAGTGATGCATTCAATATTTACCACTTCAATTATGCTCTGATTTGACAGAGGCAGACAGCTCCCCTCATGCAGTGCTGAAGGCAACAACCACTTAGCCATTTCCAATTGCTGATTCCGAGAATCCAGAATAGCAGCATTAGATTCTGCTTTAAGGATCAATCGGCCTGCAGCGTTAAGACTTCGGGCTCACAGTTAACCCACTAGTCAAGTTTGTAGCCAGGAGGAACCTGGGTATGCCTCCAGTTCTGCATGAGTCCAATGTGCACAAGGTGTCTGTCCATCGAATAGGAGGATATACAAACCAGTAGCTCCAAAGCCAAATTTAGTGTGGAAACAGTTGAGTCAAGCGGATGATTTTGCTGTAAATTAACCAAGTTACAAAACTCAAGTCCACTGTCATCAAATGAAGATTTTTGGGGGATCAGGCATGAGGTAACCCCTCACCTTGCTTAAGAGTATCCAGACCAAACAGAGTTCAACAACAAGATTACATTTGTATAGCGCCTTTCATGTCGGGAGGACGTCTCAAGGCGCTGGACAGAGTACAGCATTTCAGACCCGAGCTGGGGTCGGGGGCGGGGGGGAAGGGAGCGGAGGGGAAGGGGGTGACCGATGGTATGGTCAAAGAGGAGCGTCTTGAGGCGGGGCTTAACATAGCATAACATGTAGGAGCAGGAGTAGGCCATTCAGCCCTTCGAGCCTGCCCTGCCATTCAATCATGGCTGATCTTCTAATCTAACTCCAGCTAATAACACTTGAAGGAGGATAAGGAGGGGGTGAGGCGGAGTGACTGGGGGATGGAATTCCAGAGGTTGGGGACAGAGTGGCTGAAGGCTCTCCCGCCAATGGTGGGGTGGGTGGGTGGGTTGGGGGACGTGGAGCAGGCCAGAGCCGGGTGGGTTGGTAGGGGGTTAGGAGATCGCAGAGGCGATCGTAGGGCGAGTTCAACATATACATGGAAATTCGACCAATACATGAAAATTCCTGTGATATTTATTGGAATGCACACTCCCTCCCTGGAGGGACACATCCTGGTTACCTATTTCCAGAAAGTATTAGGTGCAGGTTGGCAAGAGCCTTTGCTTAGGGACCAAAGAGGGTACGTTGGGGTAACTGCTGGAGTCTAACCAGCTAAAACACCATATAAACACCATGTCATTGAAAGCATTGTCTGGCAAGCTTTCCCATTGCTTGTCCAGCTAGGACTATTAGGGCTTTCGCTTGCAGGATTAACCACATCTGAGTGGGAAGAGTCCCTGCCCGAGCGACTGGTCTGCCCCTCCAAGTGTTGCCAATCAGCCACATTGGCTGTCCTGTCAGCCAACATCCCCCCACCCAAAGGCTGACTGACACCCCTAACCCCAAAGGCTGACTGACATTGCACCCCCAAAAGGCTGACTGACATCCCCCCCTCCCCCCCAGGCTGACTAACACCCCCCCCCACCAGGCATCACATCCCCCCCACCGCCCTTCCCACAGGCTGACTGACATACCCCCTCCCAAGGCTGACTGACACCCCCCCCAAAAAAAAAAGGTTGACTGACATGACTCCATTCCCTTCAAAGGCTGAATAATACACCCCCACTCCCAAGGCTGACCGACATCCCCTCCTACCCCAAAGGCTGACTGACATCCCCCCCAAAGGCTGACTGACATCCCCCCGCCCAAAGGCTGACTGACATCCCCCCGCCCAAAGGCTGACTGACAATCCCCCTGCCCCACCTTAGGGTGACTGACAGCCCACAGCTCTTCTGACCTCCAATTGGGTACATATCACTGGAAGGCATGAACCTTCTTCACATAACTTTGGTACAAGCAGAAGCTCATAGCAGCAGATGGAACAATTACAAAACATTTGCACTTAGAAACTTAGATAAATCAAGTGACCTTTGGGTTCTACTTACACTGGGCTGGAGCTCAGTGAGCAGTGATCCACCAGCATCTCAGGCAGGAAATCCAATTTGAATGAAGACATTCTTGAGGGGAAAGAAGAGCAGAGATCTCTTTTTCTCTGAGAAGTTTCCTGATTTGTTAATTTCTTTCTCTGGCAAGTGATGGGACAGGACAGGCTTGAGTGCCACCGTACCCTTCACGCTCTGGAGACCAACATTGAGCAGCTGTTCCACTCTGAACACAGGGAGGGGTGGAGGAGGGGAAATGCAGACTTGTGAAAACACAAGCAGGACAGCTTGGTCTGAAAGAATAAACTGAATCCGTTTGGAAATGGGGGCTGGATTAAATGGGATGAAAACCAGCAAATACAGTCTCACCCTGATGCACAATAGAAAGTGCTGATACATCAGACTTTTTGTAAAATGTACTGCCATAGCAGTACTAACTGCACGGTCAGATAAATCGGCTGTCAGATGCTGGGAGCGCTTGATGTGTGTGAATAAAAGCCTCTTGCTGGGTTTTAATCCAGTGTTAATACCCTATTGTCCATTCAGTCAGTCTGCCATCAGCACAGTTTACAGTTGTTTTGCATTGACTGAGGTCACATGTGAGACAGGTCAGGTTTGTAGGTAATCAAGCGAAAAATATCAGCAGTAGCCAGTAGCCTAGATCAACAGTGCACAGCCACTGAGTGAGCAGTTTACTAAAGAGAAAGGAGGGGAGTAGTGGGGAAATCACCTCACTGAAGTCATTAACTGATGTCATAAGATTATTATTCATAACAAGTTTCTGCATTTAGATAGCACCTTTCACAAAGAAGGTCTCAAAGCAATTCATAGAGATGGAGTGGGAGACCAAAATTGGGGAGGTGGAGATTAAAGGGTGTGAGCTACACAAAACTGCAAGCTCCTTTCTGGAGGTACGTGACACAAGTTAAGAGACAAACAGCAGCTGCTGCACTCTCCCTCAGTGTGCTCCCGGGGAAACAAGGCATTGATTCTTGACACTCACTGAAAACTCAATTCACAGGCTGCTGAGATCCATCAATTAATTGGAAATGATTATTAAAAAAGTGTTTTAATTTTCTGCTGCAACTGCTATGCATTCCCTTTGTGGAAGTTGCTGAGCTTTATTTTGAATTTTTAGGTGCAAAAGTAACCAGCCCTGTGGTCCCATGTGCATAGTCAAGCTGTGGAAGTTTCCAACTGAAGTTTTTGGTTTTACTATTCCCTTCTAACATAACACCACAAAATGGCCCCAAACACTGAAGCTGGTAGACCAGAGAGCTGCAGAAAATCATCAAATGAATAAAAGAAGCCTCCACTTTACTCCAAGTATAGCCTTGTCTGCATGAACATCTCAAACATTGTTCATAATGGGGTACGGCATGCAGAGGCCTCCATAATCAGCACTGTACAGTCAAATGACACTCGTCTCTGTTGTACAAACATAAAAAGAGTGCAGGCCATTCAGCCATTGAGACAAATCATGCTGATCGACCATGCCATTTCCCCACTCTCCTCTGTTGTCTTTATAACTGTAATCACAAGTATCAATACAGATTTACAGTGGTTATATTGCCCCTTTCATGTGGAAAGAATGTCCCAAGGCGTTGGAGCAATATCAATTTTTCTCTCTTACACAAAAAATCCTTGCATTTCACATAGTGCCCTATCACACCAAAACATCTCAAAGCACTGCAGTTTCCTGTAAAGCACTGGTGGCCAACCTTTATGTCAGGCAACAAAATAAATCTTCTTGATTGAATAATTCTTGATTTTTGTACTATAATATATTCAATCGACCAATATAACAGCATAGAGATGGAGTGGGATGTGCTATAATATATTCCCACAAAGGCCATCCAAACCTCCCTGGATGAATAAGGAAATTGGGATTAAACTAAAAACAGAGGCTTATGATAAATGTCAGGGTCAAAATACAGAAGATAATCAAATAGAATATAGAAAGTACAGAGAAGTGAAAAAGGCAATAAGAGGGGCAAAGAGATTGGATAAAAGATTAGCAGGGAACATAATAGGGAACCGTAAGGTATTTTATAAGCATATAAAGAATAAAAGGTTAGTCACAGTTGGGTGGGTCCAATTAGGGACCAAAGAGGAAATTATCTTGTGGAGGCAGAGGGCATAGCTGAAGTACTGAATGAGGACTTCGCACCTGTCTTCACAAAACAACCACTTGCATCTATAAAGCGCCCTCCACAACGGGTGGCTTCTCAGAGCTTAACAATGGCAGAGCCCGAGGCCGAGCCAGGGGGAGGGGGAAATGACTGTAGTTGCGGTCGAAGGTCTTCAGGTGCGACCTGAAGATTGGGAAGGAGAGGGCAAGGCCAAGGGGTTGAGGGAGGGAGTTCCAAAGCTTCAGGGCGTAGTGGCTGAAGACACGGTCACCGACGGTGGAGCGGAGGATTTGGGGGACACGGAGGAAGCTGGACCCAACAGAGCGGAGGCAGCGGGTACTGCTGTGGAGTTTTGAATGAGCTGCATTTTGTGAATAGTGGAGGAGGGGAGACCGGTGAGGAGCGGGTTATAGTCCAGCCGAGAGGCGACAAAGGCACGGACAACGGTTTTGGCAGCTTTTGGGGTGAGGCATTGTCGGAGACTGCAATGTGGAGGAGGTGGAAGAAAGCGGGGCTGGTCCGGGACCGGATGTGGGGGAGGAAAGAAAACTGGGGATTGAACCTAACGCCTAAGTTGCGCTCAGATTGGGAGAGTTTTAAGGACAAGTCGGGTAGATTGAGGAGGTCGGTACGGTGAGACAAGAAGATGTCGGCGGGAGCCAAAGAGTATGGCTTCCTTCTTGTTGACGTTCATCTGCAGGAAATTTGAGCTCATCCAGCTCTTGATGTCGGACACACAAGCTGACAGAACATCAGAAGACTGGGAGTCGCAGCTGGAGGTGAAAAAGTAGAGTTGAGTGTCATCCTCATACATATGGAAGTTAACCCCGTGTCTGCGGATGACATCACTGAGAGGGAGCATATAGATCAGGAAGAGAAGGGGCCAAGGATGGATCCTTGGGGTATCTACTGCCCAAGTGACCGGGTGGAAGTGAGAAGAAATGCCATTTGTAGAAATGTAGCGCTGGCGGTTTGTAAGCTAGGACTCAAACCACTGAGGAGGACAGGCGGTGGAGGAGAATGGCATGATTGACTGTGTCGAACGCGGCGGAGAGGTCCAGGAGGACGAGGAGGCAGAGCAAGCCCTGGTCACAGATAGAGGATATTGTTTGTGACCTTCACGAGCGCTGTCTCTGTGCTGTGGGCAGTCAGAGTGGAAAACGGACTGGAGGAGTTGGAGTAGGGTGTGGAGGGAAGTTGGTCTGAAGTTGGTTGGCAACAACGCGTTCCAGAGCTTTGGCAAGGAAGGGCAGGCTTGAGATAGGGCGGTTGTGGCCGAGGTTGGAGGGCTCGAGGGTAGGTTTTTTAAGTAGGGGGGTGATGACTGCGGTTTTGAGGGGGAGTGGGACTGATCCTGAGGAGAGAGACTGGTTAATAGTGTCTGCCAGCAGTGGACAGAGGAGGGGGGTTGAGTGATCAGCAGTTGGGTGGGGAGGGGGTCGAGGTAGCAGGTGGTGATGGTGGAGAGATGGGGGGAAATGAATGTAGGATGAGGGCCATGGTAGGATCTGAAGGCGGGGTGGGCGAGGGAGACGGAATCGGGGTGGTGGTAGGCGACACAGTGCAGAGGGATGAAGCTGCCAGGCGGATATTGTCAATTTTAGAGATGTCCATGACCTCTTTGCACTTGGCGTTAGATGTGATGATTGAGGGGGCGCACGGAGGTGACGGGCAGTGGAGAATAGGATTTTGGAGTTATTGTTGGCCTCCAGTATGATGTTTGAGTCGTGCACAGTTTTTGCTTGCGACAGGTAGGTGTGAAGATGAAGAGGTGTGAAGATGCCTGCGCCACAGCTGGTGGTGAACTGTGAGGCTGGTTTTCAGCCATCTGCACTCGAGCAATTGGATTTGGGATTTTAGGGAGTGGAGATGGCTGTTGCACCAGGGGGAGTGGGTAGATTTGGAGATGGTTCTGGATTTCAGGAGAACGAGGGAGTTGAAGGTGGAGGAGAGGCGATCATGGAGCAGCTTGACGGCTGGTGCGGAGAGGGTGAGCGGTGGGACAGTTGGGGTGGCTGCTCTGGGACAACCGATGGTGAGAGCCATGATGGGCCCGGCGGAGGATGCCCAGGCCTGAAGAGAGGGAGGTAATGGTGGGGTCCAGGAGAGAGAGAAGGCGGGGAGGGCGGTGGGAGAGAAAGACAGAGTGGGAGTAGTGGAAAGAGGGGTGTAGGAGGAGCAGCATTTCCAGGGGGAGAGGCTCGGGTCAGAGTGGCAGCCAAAACAAGCACGCGGAGACCAGGTGGAAGCAGATTTGATAACAACTTTTAAGAGAGTAGATAATTATTTGGGGAGGACAAGTTTGCAGGGCTATGGGGAGAGCACAGGGGAGTGAGGTTGATCAGGGCTGTGGAGAGAAAGTGGGGGTGTGGGATTGATTTGGAAGCTCTTTTCAAAGAGCCAGCACAGACACGATGGGCCGAATGGCCTGCTTCTGTGCTGTATGATTCTAATGAAGAAAAAAATGAAAACACGCTACTAATCGAACACGGGCTTATCTAGACTCGTGCAAATGTTCAGGAGCCACCACTGGTGTAAAGTCCAGTGATTTATAGGCGAATGCAGTCAATTTGCACTCAGCAAGTCCCACAACCAGATTTTTAAATCTGTGGAACTGTCGGACAGAACCCCAGGAGATTCGTACCTTTGGGACCTTGGTTTAACTTCTCATCTGAAAGACAATGCAGTGCTCTGGAGTATCATCGGGTCTATGAATGGACTCTGATTCTATGGCTTTCTAGGCAAATCATTAACACATTTTCACAATCCTGTGTATGAAGAAATATTTTCTGTTCACTTCTAACTAATGTCTCAATTGTAAAATATTACTGTGCTAACCTGTGGGAATTTAAAAGATGGCTTTCTAAAATCTCAGATTGGTATCAAATCATGGATTGCGAACCCACTGGACAGCCCAGAAACAGAGTCTACAGTGACATCCTGTCAACCTCACATTTTATACAGTCAATTCACTTTACAGCATATCCTGTGAAGTGCTTTGAGACATCTCGAAAACCTGACAAGGCACTATATCAAATGTAAGGATTATTATTATTATTGTTAGTGCATGTGTCGATCTGGCTCAGAGGTAGTCCTCAAGTCGCTAATAATAATCCTTGCATTTGATATAGCACTTTTCACATCTTCTAGATGTCTTGAAGCGCTTCACAGAATAGACTGTAAAGTGAATTGACTGTATATTTGTGGGCGAAATGTCAGAAGGTTGTGGGCTCAAGCCCCACATCAGTACTTGGAATCACATAGTCTAAGCTAACACTCCAATGCAGTGTTGCAGGTGGGTTGCATTGTTGGAGGTGCCGTCCTTCAGATGAGACATTGAACTGAAGTCTTGTCTACCTGTTCAGGTAGGCATAAAATATTCCACTGTGCTATTCGAAAAGAGAAGGGAGTTTCTCCCAGTGTCCTGGCCAAATACAATTTGTCACTCACTTCATAGTTCTTTGTGGGACATTGCTGTGTACCACTACTTGCCGCCATTCTCCCAAATAATACATCCAATTCACTTTACAGTATATCCTATGAAGCGCTTTGAGATGTTTTGACGACTTGACATTATGAAGACTTGATATATCAAATGCAAGAATTATTATTGTTATTACTACGAGCTGGCACAACTCGTTGAAATAGCTGTAGTCTCAGTACAAGATCAAGTGTGCAATCTATAGGATGGTAGAAATAACTAGCTATCAATGCTGAACAATATTTCAGCTGTGATTGATCAATTAATTGCTGCAGCCTGACAGCATGCACCAATATACTACACTTCTTGTAATAATAATAATCTTTGCATTTAAGTTAGTACTTTTCATGTCAGGAGGATGTCTCAGAGCATTCCACAGAATTAAAGTGTAGTGATTGTGTGTTTTGCAAGTTAACAGCACAGCAACGTTCCACCAACAACCATGAAACCAATGATCAATTTAAATTACAGGATTGTCAGCAAGGACAATGGGAGAAACTCCCTTCTCTTTTCAAATAGTGCCTTGGGATCTTTAATATCCACTCGAACAGACAAGTGGGACTTCAGTTCCAGATCTCATTTGAAGGACCACAGCATCTTCGTGTCGGGTTAGACTATACGAGTTCAAGTCCTGAAATGGAGCTTGAACCCCCAACCTTCCGCCTCAGAAGCAAGAGTGCTACCTCTCGGTACCAGCCTGCGACACATTACATTGTCATTCTGTTTCCAGAACCATTCCAGGTATACAAAACACAGCCAAAATTCATCATCTTCAGAAAATATTTAAATTGATCACATTTTAAATCACAGATCAAAAGTTTTCAGGTGGTAAGCCAACGGGCAAGTGGAGCTGCTGGCAACATTTTGTAATGGCTGCTGTCATGCGGCATGGCCAGTTAACTAAGGCTGAAAATACCAGCTTTCTAGAACATCCCATTTCACTAAACGATGTACGCATGGAAATAGGAACACTCAGCAGGTCGATGACCTGAACGTTAACTCATTTTCCTCTCTCCATAGATGCTGCCTGATCTGCTGAGTGTTCCCAACCACTTCTGATTTTATTTCAGATTTCCAGTCTCTGCAGTATTTTGCCGTTTGATGTATGCATGGTGGCACTTAGCTAGAATAAGCTTTCTTATATTACTAGAAGCAAAGACTCTTACATTTCAACAGCTTCCAGACTTGAACATGAGCACCATGGAGAAAGAAGCTAAAGACAGCAATCCCCAAGACCTACCCAGCAAAGAAGGTTGGGCCAAAGAGAAATCACATCCACATTAGTAAGGCAGAATTCCAGAGCCCAAGATAGATGGGTTAATGCTTACCTGGCCACAGGCCCTGTACCATCCTCAGCAAGGACATAGGCCACCAGTGCTCCCTCCATCCGTAACGTTAGGGACTCAGCATAACTAATTAAACACGGCCACTGTCTCCCTCACACTGCAGCAACACATTCAATGTGCTGACACTTTCCTTGTGCTTCATCAACCTGGTCAACACCATCACAGTCTTGTAGCCATTTCAAGGATTTCAAACTAAATTGATCTCCTCTGCATGGCAGAAAGCTTTGTATTGTTTGGGAGCAGAGATGGCAGTGAGCGGTCGACTCACTGCACTCAGCACTGAGGTTGACATTACCAAACATACCTCTCCTGCTTGCTCTATTCAGCTCATTCTGAAAAACTCACAAATTTAGCTTGCTTATGTGTTTTATCTTCATGCACACTTTAGAAAATGATTACTTACTCATACTCACTGCAAAGAGCCACACTGTGAGATGGGTTATCCCCTTCATTCACCTGGCAAACCTCTGTTGAAGCAGTCATTGCTATATTCAACCGAGGAGTACACACTTAGTCTGTTTACATTAAACAAACACAACTAATACCAGGAGGGGCTAAGCCTATAGTCAGGTTTAATGCATTTTATTTGTGCTCCTGCTACAGGCAAGGAAGCTGCTCAGGATGTGATCTCTGGCACTCCGCCACTGTGACAGCTGCATCAGGACCCAAACTAGCAGAGGCTGCTCGCTACTCGCCTGAACGTATCTCCTCAAACTACCTGCAATTATCATTCTGTTCAACAGCTCCTGCTTACCCTCCGGTGAGAGAATCAAACCCAGCACAAGCTGCCCGACAACACTGCTCAGACATGCTTCACAGAGGAGGTTTCAATTGTTAAATATTTCTCACTCTTCAAAAACAGAAACTGGGTTGCCATATTCCATTGTACATTTAGTCAGTGCTGTCAGGATATTTTACTGGAACCTGCAGCTCATTGACAACTCAATAGTCTAACATCCAAAAATCTAAAGGTTCCAGCAATGGATTAAAGAGCTCCATTGTTAATGCAGCAGATACAGAGCAGCACAACCCGGGCCTGGGAGGGAAACTCAATGAGGTTTGCTGCTCACAACAACTTCTGATCTGATTAAGTGTTTACTTGTATAGAGCACAAATCAAATGTGACCGATGAGGCCTGCAGTTATTGTCCAAGCTTATACATGGGCAAGGTTTGGGGTGTCAGCATCTCAAAATGCTCTATGCAGTCTCACACATAGTCTGCCCAGTCTACCTGTTCACACTCACCAATCTGTCTGGTCTATCTGTTCACACTCATAAACCTCACAGATCTATCTCTTCATGCTCATAATTCTTTCAGCTAATAAATTAATAACCCTTGCAGCTTGTATCCATCTGGTCACATTCACAAGTTTCTCATGTCTATCTGTTCACACTCAAAAGAGAATCACGTCTATCTGCTCACCCTCACACAAGTCTCGAGATATAAAGTCATATTGAAGAGCACATCAAAATGTTTCAGCTTTAATGGTCCAGCAATGTCACTTGTATCTCAACAATTGTCAATGGTATTTCATTCTAATGTAGAATAATCAAAAAAGCAGAAGTGCTATAGGATTGTCTAGCATCAGATCTAACCTGAACCAGCAACAGCAATGAGAGAGACGCTGAAATGACAGCCTGCCTTTCAGTTGCACTCTAGGACACACAACTATGACTTCAAGACAAGAAATGTCAGGAAGAAAAATGTGCACCAAGCCCATCTAAGAAATATCATTTGAGCCAAGCGCACAAGCTAAAGCAGCCTGCAATCCACACCAGCACATACTGACCCTTCAATGCTTCTACATCATCAGCATGTTTCAGGGCTGCCTGTGAATAGCTCTGATTTCATTTCTCTGTGAGTGCCATTTCAATCATGTTAACTTCTCTTTTTAAACAGCTGTTCAGCTCATTTCTATGGAAGGGAGAGTCTCACAATTATACTCTGAGAACAGGCATAAATGAAGGTTTATTACACTGAAAAGGATATCCAAGGATTATACAGTGTCGTGTTTAATTGAGCACAGATACTGCACAGCGACAGAGCCCCTACTGATTGAATTCCTGCTGCAGTGAACAGATGCCAGGAATGACAAAACTTACGACAATGCCTAACATTAATTTGAGTAAAAAATATAATTGGGTGCAGTTTTTAAACCAACTGTTACTTTAAACCTCTTGGCATCACGTCCAAATGATTCCTGCTTCTTGTCCCCCAGCCCCCCACCCTGAGATATGTAAGATTATATTGATGTAAATTGCACGATTTCTACATTACTGAATCTTGCAGACTTAGCTGAATTTACAGCAATCAAAGTCCTCTCCAAATACTCATTTATAGCTAATGAACAGCGTGAATTTAGAAAACTCAGAACAATTGATTTGATTAGTCTAGTCTTTACTGACTTTTCTTTTCGACTGCGCCTTTGGTCACCTTCCTTCCCCCTCCCCCTTGCTCGGCCCCGGGATCCGTTACTGTGAAGCGCTCTGAGACGCTGTTTGGCGTGGAGGGTGCTATTTAAATCCAAGTTGTTGTTGTAAATCCAAGTTGTTGTTGACACCAGGGTTAATATTCAAGTTCACAGCAGTCAAAAACACTATTCTATCACCCGTGTATATAAGGAGCAAGCAATGCAATTCTCTCACCTCCCTCCCCTGTTAGAGGTGCCAGCAGAGGTGGAAAAACACAAAATTAGTAATACAAATCTTAATAAAAAACTAAAAGAGATAAAAATACAGAAATTTCAATGCAGAAATTGAGACCAACAACCCCATCGCTTCCATCCCTGCAGCCACAACTAAGCTATACCGCAGCACTGAGACTCAAGCAGTTGAACTCCTCCCACCTCTCTTCCCCCCTCCCAAAGTCAGGAACCTTGACTGGCTGGGCAATAAAATAACTTGCATTCAAGTAATGCTTTACATAGAATGAACATCTCCAAACAGTTACTAACAGAGGTTGAAGCAAGATCATGAAATTTGTGAATGTCTCGCCCAAATTTTGTGGATGAATGCAAAAGCCAACAAGAAGCGAATGACTAATTTTATCTGGGGAACTGTTGGCCAGGACACTCTTTTTCGCAACAGGGACATGGGATCTTTAATGCCCACCTGAACAGACAGGTAGTTTACATCAGAAGGATGGCATCTCTGACAATCCAGTGTTCCACTGCAGTTCAGCCTAGCTTAGTTACTTCAAAATATTAATGATCTTGTCCACTGTATATATTCAACTAAAACTGGATTTCCTCTTTGCCCAATGCAGGAATAAGAATCCAAGATTCTTCACATTTCTCGCAATCTAATAGCTCCAGCTCCATACATCAATACTTTAATCTATTGACAATCATGGTCATCACCTCACCCATCAGACGCACTAAGCTCCATGAACCAATCAACCCCATCCTCACTGGTTCCACATCCCCGAGAGGATAACGTTCAAGATGCTTGTTCTCAATTTCAAAGCCATCCACGGCCTTGGGCCTCCCTACTTCTATAACCTGGGAACTCCAAACCGACCTGTCTGCTCTCTCCAATCAGCGAACCCCAGCCCGCCAACCACTGGCAGTTGAACCTTCAGCCTTTCTGCCCCCCATCCTTTGGAAACCATCTCACAGTCCCTTCGCCTCTCTCTCTCCCTTGCCTCCTTCAATGCTTGCCTCAAGACCCTCCTCTTCAACCTTCGGCCACCCTCTTACTCATACCCTCCCCACCCTCCTGATTCCAACCACCAGCTCCTTAACCGTCCAGCGCCTTGGGACATCTCCTGAAAATCGATATACAATTGTACTTGGTGTTGTTGTTGATGTCAAATGGACATCTCCAAGTCTACTTTGCAAAAGCCATCCCCATCTTCTTTAATAACTCTCCAAAGCCCATGTTCACCAAAGTCTGAGAATCTATTATCTGGTGAGACTGTTCAGGCATCTCTTGGGCAGCGGATAGAAGGTTCATCATCTAACAAGTCCCTCCTGCGGCCCCCTCCACCGCCTGCGGCCCCCCCACACTGCCAGTGCCCCCCAACCCCCCACACCGCCTGCAGCCCCCCCACACTGCCAGTGCCCCCCAACCCCCCACACCGCCTGCAGCCCCCCACCCCCCGCCTGCTCCCCACCCCACCACCCCGCCTGTCCCCCACCCCGCCTGCCCCCCACCCCACCACCCCGCCTGCCCCCACCCCGCCTGCCCCCCACCCCGCCACCCCGCCTGCCCCCCACCCCACCACCCCGCCTGCAGCCCCCCCACCACCCCGCCTGCTCCCCACCCCACCACCCCGCCTGCCCCCCACCCCGCCTGCCCCCCACCCCGCCTGCCCCCACCCCACCACCCCGCCTGCCCCCCACCCCACCACCCCGCCTGCCCCCCACCCCACCACCCCGCCTGCAGCCCCCCCACCACCCCGCCTGCCCCCCACCCCGCCTCCCACCACCCTGCCTGCCCCCCACCCCACCACCCCGCCTGCCCCCCACCCCACCACCCCCCCCCGCCTGCCCCCCACCCCACCACCCGCCTGCCCCCCTCCACACTGCCAGCGCCCCCCAACCCCCCACACCGCCTGCGGCCTGAGCTCGTGCTACAACTTGTCATGGTCTCGGCCTTCCCAGCTGCTGGAGCGAGGCCCGTCTTGAACATCCCCCGACACCCCCGGGGCCCGGCTCCCCACCCCACTGTTCCCTGTCTCCCTCCCCCCGCTTGTCCTCCCTCCCACCTCTCCACGCTCTCTCCCCCCGAGCGGGGGGTCACTCACTGAGGTCTCGGTCGGTATCGCTGATCCCAGTCCCGCGCGCAGCTCCACCCGCTGAGAAGACGCACTCAAAATGGCGGCGCTTCCGGCGTCTGCCGTCACTCGGCTGTGAGGCCACGCCCCTTCCGCCCGGACACTCAAAATGGCCGTCCCCGGACCCGCATCGCAGCCGCTGCCGTCAGACACGCGCGGACACCCGCAACTTACCGCGGAATGGACACCAGAGAGGATGAGGCCGGGGTTGGGGGCGGACCCGGAGTGTGTGTTGGGGTAACTGCTGGAGTGTAACCCGCTTTCCCGCGGTCTGTCCAGTCAGGACCGCGCGCCCCGACAGGGCTTTGGGTTGTAGGGTCACAGGAGCTGAGGGGGAAGAACCTCAACCCCCAATGACTTGTCTGCCGCTCCGGGTCTGTCCACCAGCAGTGCCCACAATGCTATCAGCCCACACCTGGTGCAGAAGCCACACAGGAGACCCGCACAGAGCTCGGACCCGATTTCCACATTCCACAGCTGCGAAGAGACCTGACTGACCCCCCAACTCACCCGCAAAACAGGAGGGCACTGAAAGAGAGAACCCTTCCAATTCAGGTGAACTTTAAAAATCCCATCGCACTACCACTAGACCAGCAATGCCCAGATAACATCCTTCATTCACTTCACGGCAGCTTATGGGATTTTCCTTTGCAAATTGGTTGCCATTTTCTCCTAAAAACAACAACAACAACAAGATTCCATTTATAAAGCGCCTTTCACGTCGGGAGGACGTCCCAAGGCGCTGCACAGTTGGGTCATGACCCGAGCATTGGGGGGAAATGGTCAGGGTGAGGGGAGGGAAGGGAGGGAGCGAGGAGGGGGGGATGGTCAGGGTGAGGGGAGGGAAGGGAGGGAGCGAGGAGGGGGGAAATGGTCAGGGGGAGGGGAGGGAAGGGAGGGAGAGAGGAGGGGGGAAATGGTCAGGGTGAGGGGAGGGAAGGGAGGGAGCGAGGAGGGGGGAAATGGTCAGGGTGAGGCGAGGGAAGGGAGGGAGTGAGGAGGGGGTAGAGAGTCAAGAGCGGAGCTGAAGGCTGAAGGTCAAAGAGAAAGGTCTTGAGACCGGCCTTGAAGGAGAAGAGGGAGGAGGCGGCGAAGGCACTGGGGATGGAGTTCCAGAGCCTTGGGGCTGAGAGGCTGAAGGCCCGACCACCGATGGTAGGGCGGTTGGGGCGGGGGACGTGGAGCAGACCGGAGCCGTAGGAACGGAGGGTACGGGGGGGTACGTGGGGGGATAGTAGGTCGGAGAGGTAGGAGGGAGCGAGGCCGGGAATGGCCTTGTAGGTGAGGATGAGGATCTTGAATTCGATCCTCTGGGGGATGGGGAGCCAGTGGAGGCGAGCGAGGGCGAGGGCGAGGGTGTGGGTGAGGGCGAGGGTGAGGGCGAGGGTGAGGGTGGGAGTGATGTGGTCGCGGTGTCTGGTGCGGGACAGTACACGAGCTGCAGAGTTCTGAATGACCTGCAGTGTGGAGGGAGGTGGCGGGAAGGCCGGCGAGGAGAGAGTTCCCATAGTCCAGCCTTGAGGTGACAAAGGCGTGAACCAGAGTTTCAGCCGCGTGAGGGGTGAGGTAGTGCCGTAGTCTGGCCATGTTCCGGAGGTGGTGGAAGGCGGTGCCGGTTGTGGTGCGGATGTGAGGGAGAAAGGACAGCTCAGGGTCGAGGGGAACCCCGAGGTTCCTGATGGCTTTGAGAGGTGGAGAGTGCGGAGCTGATGGTGTCGGCGCCTGAGGTGCGGAGGCGCCGACGTGAGCCAATCAGGAGGGCCTCGGTTTTTCGCACGTTGAGCTGAAGAAAGTTGTCTCTCGTCCAAGACTCGATGTCAGACAGTCAGTCTCCACTCTACAATATATATTTTTTCATCTTCCCGTTGTGAAAGATGCTACATCAAATATTTGGATTATTATTACAAGCTTAATTATAGGCAGACAAACCAAGAACTAAGATCAGTTTTAATGAGAAAATTTTGATTTATAGCAATTATCCAAATTTCTCTGCAGAAATTTTTTTTGTTTTACTCAAACTATGGAAGAAACTACAGCCTTGCTTCAGGACAAGTTCCAAGTACAGTCAAGTGTAACAGTATAACAGCAGAATGAACAGAGAGCCATTCTATTCCAGAGCATCCACCTTGGCAGAAAAGACAGTTTTGGGTGATTAGAAAAACAGAAGCATCATTAAACCATTCCATAGGAACATAGGAATGTACAGGATTAGAAATTACCATTGTCCCAAATCCCATTCCAACAGCGCCATCATCCACTTTGGGACCAACAAACAGTCACGGGAACAGGAAGAAGTTTTTCTGTATCCAGGTGATCCCAAGTGTGTCACTGGTTCTGGCATGCTATGCCAGGATTTGATGCCGAAAATCTAATACATCATAAAACCATATTTTCAGGCAGGAGCTGGCAATTCCCTCCATCATTGGGAGTGCTGGCAGGCTGGAGGCAATTGACAATGTTTATGGCCGTGAGGTTTAGAAGCCATCAATGCTTAACCAGATTCAGAACTACAATCAAGGACAGTACCAGTCTAGTACAGGTTATGATAATGGTAACATAATTTCACACACTACCTTTACTCATACCAACTGTTAACCATTTGATACCCACCTTGTGCTCACTGCAAGTCTCATGGAAAGCAGAGAAATGGCTGGACAATTATACTATAAGAAAGGGTTAATCTTGAAGAGTAACAAGGCTGCCTCAGAACATAGTTCTGTATGTGATGCTTCCACACTGAACAAGTGTATTAATACACAGGTTGTGGGCAAACAGCAAAACCCACTTTACTATTTCTAAAAAAAATCACTACTTACATGTTCCGAAATTGTATAATTTAAATAGAGAGAAAAAAGATAGAAAACTCAGCCAATTGTCCAAAGTTTACATTCAGTTACGTCCCAATCTACATTGAGCCAAAACATGTAGATACAGGGAGCTGCATATAGTGTGCCTGTATTGATCCCTACAATACAGATAAATAGCCTGGTACAATGTGTATGTACGGGGCCTATTCCTAAAGCCTGTTCCGAACAAGGTGCAGCTTTCAGTAGAGGCCTCTAGATGCTCTGCTCTGCTGTCAGATATTTTAGTGCTGTGGAACCGTACTTTCGGGATATATCCTGATGAAATTCTTCTTTCAGTGTTCTCAGGCATTTGCGATAAAGTGAGCTGGAGCGGAACTTGGAGATGTCGAAGCTGGGAGCATGGGGCATGTGGACAATGTATGCATTGGGGAGGACCATCAGCTCATACTCCTGTGAAATTAAGAGATTTGCATCATGAGCAACGTTCCCAGTAACCTCTAGTAAGTGCTAGTAATTCAAAGTAAGCAGCTGTGCAAGATTTTCAAATCTTCCATCACATCTTCATACTTTACTCACCTGAGCATCAAGTTCAATGATATGAGACACTTTATTCCATCCAAATCCAACAAATCTCTGATCATACTCTGGACAATCTCGCCTTACTACAACATAAGGCTCAAAATCTGCCTCCCACTCCACTTTATACGGAGTGGTCGCTGTGCGCCATTTGGCAAAATTGGTTGGAGCATGTCCCTTAGTCCAGACATGGTACCTGGCAAAATAAACAAGGTCACCTTGATTGAAATCAGAATAAAGGGTTGAATAAAGGGCAATCAACAGGGTTGGGTAGGTAGGCGGTTGCAGAAAGAGTGAGCCTCAAGTGGGCAGGTCCCTACCTGAATGTGTAAAGAGTCCCCATGTCAAGCATCGAGAGCACTTCTGCTTTGGATTTTGGGAACGAAAGACGATAGCGCAATGTTTCAAACGCTGGAACAATCAGTGCCTTCTTTTCACTGTCCAACTCCAGCTGGATGATGGACTTCCTGCAGGCACAGAGGCAACACATGACAGGAATAACAACAACAAATCACATCTGTATAGCACCTTTCACGTCAGGAGGATGTCCCAAGGTGCTAGACAGTCAGGGATCCACCCCCGAGCTGGTGGTTGAGATCAGGAGGGGTGGAGGGAGGGGAGGGGTAGGAGGGTGACCGAAAGTATGGTCCAAAACCATGGTCTTAAGACGGGTCTTGTAGGAGGCAAGGTAGGAAGCGAGGGGTAGGGTCTGTGGGATGGAGTTTGATAGTGTGGGGGCAGAGAGGCTGATGGCCCGCCCACCAATGACAGCACAGGCAAGGCTAGGGGCGTGAAGCAGGTCCCCGGAGCCTGATGAGCAGATGGAGCGGACAGATTGGTAGTGGGTTCAGAGTTCACAGAGGTAGGGCGGAGCAAGGCCATGCAGGGCTTTGAAGATGAGGACCAGGATCTTGAACTGTATCCTCTGGTGTATTGGGAAGCCAGTGGAGTTGGGCGAGGATGGGGGTGATAGGGCCACAGAGCCTGGTGGGGAGAGGACACGGGCTGCAAAGTTCTGGATGATCTGCAGCCTGTGGACGGAGGAGTTGGGGAGGCCGTCAAGCAGGGAGTTTGCGTAGTTAAGCCTGGATGTGATGAAGGTATGTATGAGGGTCTCGGTGGCCTGCGGTGAGAGACAGTGGTGAAGCCGGGCAATGTTGCGGAGGTGGGGAAAGGCGGTCATGGCATGGATGTGGGGGGTGAAGGACAGTTGAGGGTCAAACAAAACTCAAGGAGTTCCGTATTGGCTGTAGTAGTGTGCATCCATGAAGGGAGACGCTGTCAGTGCCCGAGGTTTGGAGGTGCTGATGGGAGCCAATCAGGAGAGCCTCGGTCCTGTGTCATTCAACTGAAGAAAGTTAGCTCTCATCCAGGACTTGATGTCCAACAAGCATTCTGTGAGTCGAGGATGGAGGCAGAGAGATAGAGTTGGGTGTCATCCTCATTCACGTGCAAGTTAATCCCACATCTGCAGATGATGTCGCCATGGGGGAGAATATAGATATTGAATAGGAGGGGACCAAGGACAGCCCTGAGGAACGCCACACGTAGCGGTGCGGGGGTTAGAGGAGAAGCCGTTAGTGCAAACAAAGTGGAGACGGTGGGAGAGATAGGATTCAAACCAGGCAAGGGCAGGACGTGAAGCTTGAGCTGAGAGGAGAGGCTGTGTAGGTGGATAGAATAGTCGACAATGTCGAAGGACAAGGAGGCAGAGAGAGCTCTGGGTGCAGATGACAGAATGCTGTTAGTGACTTTGACCAGGGCTGTTTCTGTGCTGTGGGCAGTACGGAAACCTGATTGGAGGGGTTCATAAATGGAATGGCAGGAGAGGAAAGAGCAAAGCTGGGATATGACATCTTCTCGCAGTTGGAATTGGAGGAGAGCATGGGCCAGACACAGGAAGGTGGACAGAGGAGGCAGTTGGTGGTGGAGAAGAGGAGCCTGGAATTGTCCTGACCTCCAAGACTATCTTGGAGTTGAAGGATGATTTGGCGGAGGTGAAGGCAGAGCTACTGCTTTGGTATGGTCTAGCCAGATCTACCGATGGACTGTTAGGTTTGATTTGATCCAGGTGCATTCCGTGACATGTACTTGTACCTTGAGGGATTGGAGGTGGCTGGTACCAAGGAATTTATGGGAGTAGGAGGCAATTTTGGGGGGGGGGGTTGAAGGTGGCAAGGGAGTCAAGGATGGAGGAGAGGGAGTTGTGGAGAAGAGAGTGAGGAGGGTAGGTCGTTGTGAGAAGAGGGCCAGAGGGGTAGCAGTTTGGATGATTCCAGGGCAGCGGAGAGAGTGGGGGAAATATTTTTTCCAAGGACAGTAGGAGATAGGTTGAGTGGGGGACGGGGGATAGCAGAGTTAAGGGAGATGAAGTAGTGATCCAAAATGGTTTTGTCAATGATGGTGATGTCCGAGATGGTGAGACTCTGAGTAATCACCAGATCAAGGGTGATGACTGTGGATGTGGGTGGCAACAAAAACAACAACAAGATTACATTTTTATAGCGCCTTTTACGTCGGGAGGACATCCCAAGGCGCTGGACAGTGTACAGCATTTCAGACCTGAGCTGGGGTCAGGGGGGAGGAGGGAGGGGTGGGGGGCATGTTGATGTTGGTGGCAGAGTTGATGTGGAGGGAGAGGTTGTGAGAGGAGAGGAGGGAGGAGACGTCAGCAGAGGTAGAGCAGGAGGAGGTGAAGTGCTGGTTGAAGAGAGAGCCCTGGCCCCGGTTAGAGTGGTTGGAGTACTAGCCTTACAAGCGAGAGTCATGGGTTCGGTTCCCAGCAGGGTGAAATTTTGGGCAAGTTTCCTTACTCCACACGCCTGATAATAATCCCTCAAGAAAAAAAAGCAATAACAATTTGGTCATTCAGTCCACAACTGTTTGTGGGACGCTGCTGTGAGCAATTAGCTGCCGCGTTTCGCCCACAAATATACAGTCAATTAATTTTACAGTATATTCTGTGAAGTGCTTTGAGACGTCGAGAAGATGTGAAAAGCGCTATGTCAAATGCAAGGATTATTATTATTAAGTCGCCTCAGATAATAATTCAGAGCAGAAGGAGGAGAGGAGGGTGGAGGTTCCATGAGGAAGGTGGGGGAAGATTTGGGGACGATAAATAAGGAGAATTTTGAGGGAAAGGTTGGAGGGTTAATAAAGGATAAGGTACTCAAAGGAGGGGAAGGAACCAGAGGAGTAAGGGGATAGGCTGAGCGGGGACCTGGAGTTGAGAACCACACCATACCACGGTGGTTAGGTCAAGGGGTATGATGGAAAGGGTAGCCGGGTGCTGTGGCCTCTGTCAGGGGGAAGGTGTTGCCTTGGGTGACCCAGGTTTCGGTGAGGGCGAGAATGTTGGATGGTGAGCGTTTTGCTGGAGAGCGAGTGGGCATTTTGTATACCAATGCAGAGGGGACAGCTGGTGGTGGAGGAATGTGCGAGACGAGGGGTGGGGGGAGGATTGACGGAGGGTGGGGATGCGGATAAGAGAGGAGAGGGTGGCCCCCAGAGTCAGGGACCGATGGGCATTGTGGCAGAGGTGGAGAATGGGGCAGTCAGGGTGGCTGATGTTGGGACAGCTAGCGGCATCGGCTACAGTGAGCGTGACAGAGGATTCCCAGGCTGGAGCAGAGGGAGGCTGTGGGAAGGTCGAGCAGGGATAGGAGGTGGAGAGGGCGGTGGGAAAGAAGATTGAGTGGGAGTAGTGGAGGGTAAAGGACAGGAGTGGGAGCAGTGCAAATTTTACATGCCTCTTTGACCATGCGTTCGGTCATCTTTCCCCACCCCCTTCAACTTCCATCCACAACTTGGGTGCCCAGCTGACATTCCGAAGCGCTTTGAAACATCCTCCCAATGTGAAAGGCATTATATAAGTGTAAATTGTATTGTAAGTGGATGTTAACTATGTGTACGGAGATGAAGTTGCTAAGGGAAGCATGTAAGCTGAAGTTAGAGCCCACTGCACTCTGCAGGTAATCATGTGAGGACGGGAGGAGAAACCGTTGGAGGAGATAAAGTGCAGATATTGGAACAAGCAGGATCGGACCGCAAGAGATGGGATTCTGAGCAAACATAATGGGCTACCGCACGTTTTGCACAGTGGCCTGAAAACAATCCAGCTGCTGGAAGACATATAAATCACTCTACCTGAGATATTGATGGAGCCCATACATTGGCAGAAAATCAATGTCTGTCAAAAAGACATACGGGGTGTTTACTTGCTTCAGTGCAATGTTTCGTAGCAAGTTCACAGGGTAGAACTGACCCTCCTTGTACACTATATGGTAGCCAACATTCCTGCGATTCCTCAGCACCTGGGAAGCCAGTGCATACTGAAGGAACTGCTGAGCCTCTGCATCAGACAGATAGAGCGCCAAGCTGATAGGGCCTTCCCAGTGCTTGCAAATTGCTTCCACCATCTGTAACCTAGGAGATGAGGAAAGAGAAACCAGGAAATTAAAATCATGCAGGAAGTTCATAGATACGCTCCTCCTCTTGTGGGTCGTGAACTCTTGTAGTATCCCAGCCAGACCAGCTCAGGGAGACAATGAATCAGTGTTACGTATCCACATTACCTGTCCATGGAAAGCTGGGTGACCAGTGTAACACCAGCTTCGTCCATGTTGTCAGTGAAGTCATAATGCAGGAAGTATAGATGGGTCCGGTGATCAGTGATCCGCTCACGTCGAAAATCATAGCATTGGTCATCCTCATCCAGCTCCTCCAGCATTCTCTGCAACTGAACACAGGGGAACATGACAATCCAGCCCTGCTTCCAGCCCTCCACACAACCTCCAGCAGCCTGACCTGACCCCCAAGAGAAGCACTGGCTTCCAAGTGGATGAGCCACTAAGCTTTGGATTGCAACCAATGTCATTCACAGTTAATTTCAATCCATCAGAAACACTGACCCGTTGTCTTCCTGTGCTGGTCTGGCTGGGACACCGAAAGAGCTCACGACGCAGCAGATTCCCATCATATTCCAGGAATGTCAAGTACAGATTCCGGAAAAACTCCACATGTTTGTTCTTGACTCTCAGCTTTTTAGGGGAGTTCCAGTGGATAACCTGCAGGTCAGAGAGAGAATGAAGAGAGTGAAACAGGACTGACATATCCTGTCAGTTTGAGCAACAGCCAAACCTTTCAAACCAACCCACTTAACACACCTTCAGATCTGAGACTTTAGTGTAACAGAGTTCGGATCGTGTGTGGTCTGATAACTGCACGTTCCAGAAACAAGCCAGCTGATGCACTATGGATGGGTTCTGCTTAATAACAGCATTAAAAATATCCTGAGAAAATAGAACAATGATATTAGAGAATATAAGAAACATACAAATTCTTATTGCCCCCAAGAGGAGACAATGAGAGTATTGGGGTTTTACAAATGTGGCATGTACGCATGAGTATTCAAAAAATGCACACATGACAATGGGTAACCCGGACCAATCAACCTGGCAGGTTTCATTTTGAGCAGAGAGCCCAGCAGCAGGCGGAGGGAACTGAGTGAGGGGAAACAGAGTAAGATTTCTGTTAAGGAATTGGGTGAGAGGGGGAAAGAGATGCATAATTATAAAATGTGTCATTTTTATTAAAACACTATAAAATATGTCTGGGAACATGGTAAGGGCAGCTGAGACCGGTTGCGTGCACAATGTGTGCCATGTGGGGGAAGTCCTGGAGGCTTTGTGTGCCCTGGACAGACACGTGTTTAGGAAGTGCCTCCGGCTGCTCAAGCTTCAGCTCGAGGAGAGGCTGGTTCCACTACATGGCATACAGGGAGGCTGAAGAGTTCATCGATTGAATGTCTCAGGAGGTGGTCACCGCACAGCCACAGAGGGTTCAGAAGGAGAGTGAGGGGGTGACCACTCGGCATGGTAGGAATAATCCCTCCAAAACAAAACAATAATAAATTGGTCATTTTCAATCTACGACTGTTTGTGGGACATTGCTGTGCGCAATTGGCTGCCGCGTTCGCCCACAAGTATACAGTCAATTCACTTTACAGTCTATTCTGTGAAGTGCTTTGAGACGTCGAGAAGATGTGAAAAGCGCTATGTCAAATGCAAGGATTATTATTATTATTAAGAGGGGACGGGCAGTGCAGAAATCCCCTGAGAGTGTGGCAATCACAAACCAGTTCTCTACTGAAGACCAGTCAGGGAGGTGACACCTCTGGGGAGGAGTCAAAAGCCAAAGGGTCCTTCCTTTCCTCTTGAAAAGAGGAGGGTAAGGAGTGACCTGATAGAAGTCTTTAAAATGATGAAAGGTTTGGATAGGGTCGACATAGGGAAGATGTTTCCACTTGTGGGCGAAACCAAAACCAGGGGCCATTAATAACAAATAGTCACCAATAGATCAAATAGGGAAGTTAGAAGACATTTTTTCACACAGAGAGTACTGGGAATCTGGAGCATGCTACCACAAGGAAATGTTGAGGCAAATAACACAGATGTATTTAAGGGAAAGCTAGAGAGGTGCATGAGGGAGAAAGGAATAGAAGGTTATGCTTGAAGGCTTAGTTGAGGAAGGGCCGGAGAAGCCTCATGTGGAGCATAGTCCTGTAGCTCAGTGGTTAGAGCACTCGCTTTGCAAGTGAGAGACCTGAGTTCAATTCCAGGCAGAGGGCGAAACCTCGGGCAAGTTTCCTTACTCCACACAGAGCCTAATAATAATCCTCCAAAACCAAAAAAAATAATAATAAATTGGTCATTTTCAATCTACGACTGTTTGTGGGACATTGCTGTGCGCAATTGGCTGCCGCGTTCGCCCACAAATATACAGTCAATTCACTTTACAGTGTCTTCTGTGAAGCGCTTTGGGACGTCCTCCCGACGTGAAAAGCGCTGTATCAAATGCAAGGATTATTATTATTATTATTATTATTATCCCTCAAAAATAGACAGACTGATAAAATGGGCAGACAGGTGGCAGATGAAATCTAATGTGGAGAAATGCAAAGTGATGCATTTTGAGAGGAAGAATGAGGAGAGGCAATATACGCTGATGATACAGTGTTAAAGGGGGTGAAGGAACAGAGAGACCTGGGGGTCATATAGTAAATCTTTGAAGGTGGCCGGACAGGCAGATAAAGCTGTTAAAAAAGCATACAGGATACTGGGCTTTATAAATAGGGGCATAGAATACAAAAGTCTGGAAGTTATGATAAACCTTTATATAAAACACTGGTTAGGCCTCAGCGAGAGACTGTGTTCAGTTCTGGCCCCACACTTGACGAACGATGTCAAGGGTGTGAAGGAGATGGACCAGGATGGTACCAGGAATGAGGGGCTTCAGTTATCAGGAGAGGCGAGAGAAGCTGGGATTATTCTCCTTGGAGCAGAGAAGGTTAAGAGGAGACTTAAGAGAAGTTTTCAAAATGATAAGGGATTCGATAGGGTGAACAAGGAGAAACTATTCCCACTGGCGAGTCGGTCGGTAACCCGAGGACACCGATTTAAAATAGTTGTTAAAATGAACAGAGGCAAGGGGAGGAGAAATGTTTTCACAGCGAGTTGTTGGGATCTGGAATTGCCTAAAAGGCTGGTGGAAGCCAATTCCATAACAACTTTTAAGAGAGAAGTAGATAATTATTTGGGGAAGACAAGTTTGCAGGGCTATGGGGAGAGCGCGGGGGAGTGGGGTTGATCAGGGCTATGGGGAGAGAGCGGGGGAGTGGGGTTGATCAGGGCTATGGGGAGAGAGCGGGGGAGTGGGGTTGATCAGGGCTGTGGAGAGAAAGTGGGGGTGTGGGATTGATTTGGAAGCTCTTTTCAAAGAGCCAGCACAGACACGATGGGCCGAATGGCCTGCTTCTGTGCTGTATGATTCTAATGAAGAAAAAAATGAAAACACGCTACTAATCGAACACGGGCTTATCTAGACTCGTGCAAATGTTCAGGAGCCACCACTGGTGTAAAGTCCAGTGATTTATAGGCGAATGCAGTCAATTTGCACTCAGCAAGTCCCACAACCAGATTTTTAAATCTGTGGAACTGTCGGACAGAACCCCAGGAGATTCGTACCTTTGGGACCTTGGTTTAACTTCTCATCTGAAAGACAATGCAGTGCTCTGGAGTATCATCGGGTCTATGAATGGACTCTGATTCTATGGCTTTCTAGGCAAATCATTAACACATTTTCACAATCCTGTGTATGAAGAAATATTTTCTGTTCACTTCTAACTAATGTCTCAATTGTAAAATATTACTGTGCTAACCTGTGGGAATTTAAAAGATGGCTTTCTAAAATCTCAGATTGGTATCAAATCATGGATTGCGAACCCACTGGACAGCCCAGAAACAGAGTCTACAGTGACATCCTGTCAACCTCAGATGTTTTTGTATAATGTTTGCATGATTTGGGGTTAACAGTGTCTGAAATCTCAAACTGCTGTGTAACAAGGAGCCACACACGCAGAATTACATGCAGAAGCTGCCCTGGGATTGCACTGTTAATTGCTTCATTTCCTACCTGATCAGCCAGCGATGTTGAGAACATACTCATCAGCTCCCGTTCGGCAGTCAACCTCCACATCTGTTCCCAGCCTCTCCTCTGCAGCCTGTCCATCAGAAGCAGGATCACACCTACACACACAGCAAACACAGGACATTCAGCGATGTGTATCACTAGGATGCAACACGTGGTACTGAATTATCCAGCAAATCCATTTGAAGCCTCGCTGCTGATCAAACTCCTACCAGTGTTAAAGCCTCTGCCCAGTGCTGGCCACGGCTTATGGTTTTTCCAAAGATTTCCCAGATACCAGTCACTCTGATTTTCCACTAGCCCAATTACTTGTTTATCTAGAAGGAAGAGAAAGCCTTGTCACCCATGTCACATACAACAAGGTCATTTCAGTCATCTTTCAAATAGATAATAATCCTTGCATTTGATACAGCACCTTTCATGTTGGAAGGATGTCTCAAAGTGCTTCATAGCATTTACTATAAAGTGGAGTGTCTATGTGTTTTGTTTTGTAGCAAACCAGAATGAATGATCAGGAAGTTCATCTTCCAAATAAGACTTTTGACAATTCACTTTAAACAATTATTAAGTCAATGATCACAAAAAGTTTTACTTGAAGAGGAAGTCTGGGACATGTTCCCACGGTCTGCCCAGTCTGCTTCTATAGCAGTTTCTTCGTACTTTCTGGGTTATACTGGATGATGTCACGCCCTGGCAGAGCCATCACAGACATGATGGGCCGAATGGCCTCCTCCAGTGCTGTATAGTTCTATGATTCAGTGGCTGCATAGAAACAATCAATCCCACAATATCCTGGACTATTTCTAAAATTGCTTCAGAAATTAACTTTAATCTTTACTCGTATTTTAAAGGCTATTTTTTGTGCTCAGTAATCAAATCTCTCTTCAAGACGGAGGTATAGCTATTTGTTAAGTAGGAGTATTCAGGGATATGGGGCGAGGGCGGTAACGACTTGAGGTGCAGATCAGCCATGGTCTTATAAAATGGTGGAACAGGCTCGAGGGGCTGAATAGCCTCCTCCTGTTTCTATGATTCCAAATGTATCGTATAGAATAATTAGTAGAATTAGAATCCAGATAAAATCATTCGTTCACTTTGCAGCTTTTGTGGGATATCGCTGTACCTAATTTGGCAGCCGGGTTCCGCTAAAAAATACAGTACCCAAAGTTTATATTAGATCTTGTGAAGCGCTCTGAGACATCCTTCTGATGTGAAAGCCACTGTATCAAATGCAAGGATTATTATCAAAAATATTAAAGCAATGAAACCTAGAGCTCAGTTAATGCCGCTTTGGGAATTCAACAGTGTGCAGGCCTCCAAGTCAGGGAATCTGGTGCACTTTATATTCTGCTATAACCCCTGTCTGTCCAGCACCCTGGGATATCTTTCTGACGTGAAGGGTGCTGTACAAGTGCAATGGGTTGTTCTTGTTGCGAGAAGGACTGATGGTAAACATCCTTTCTTTTGCCAACCCTCTCAGCTCTAATGATGCTGCTTCTTGTCCCTCAACCCATCCACCCACGCATCTTGCCCCCACTCTCTGGAACTCTTCCAAAATCTCTTCACTTTGCACTCTCTTTGAATTTAAGTCTAAAGACCTCTGACTTTTACTGTGCTTTGGCTACCTCTCTCCTACCAGCACCGAATCTCCCACCCTGTTCTGTAAAGTATTCAGAGACATTCCCAGACATAAAGGTATACAAGTGCAAGTTGTTTCTTCTCTCCCTCTTTGAAACATGTAAATTAACAATCTGTCTCCTCATTGTGGAGTCCTGTATCTTAGTGGTTAGAGCACTCGCCTCACAAGTGAGATGACCTGGGTGAAACATTGGGCAACTTTCTTTACTCCACACACTTCTGTTTACCTAGTAGTACGTAGGAACGCAGTTGTTAGTCAATTAGCAGATCACTTTTCCGAGGTAATAATCCCTTCAAACTAGAATCATAGCATTATAGAGTATTACAGCACAGAAGGAGGCCATTCGGCCATCATGTCTGTGCCAGCTCTTTGAAATAGCTCCTCAATCAGTCCCACTCTCTCGCTCTTTCCCCATATCCTTGCAAATGTTATCTTTTCAGGTACCTATCCAATTCCCTTTTGAAAGTTGTTATTGAATCAGTGTCCACCGCCCTTTCAGGCAGTGCTTTCCAGACCATAACAACTCTCTGAGTAAAAAAGTTTCTCCTCATCTCCCCTCTGGTTCTTTTGCCAATTATCTTAAATCTATGTCCCCTGGTTATTGACCCACCTGCCAATGGAAACAGTGTCTCCCAATCTACTCTACCAAAACCCCTCATAATTTTGGACACCTCTGTTAAATCTGCCCTTAACCTTCTCTTCTCTAAGGAGAACAAAGCCACATTCTCTCGACTCTCCACATACATAAAGTCCCTCATCTCTATTACCATTCTGGTAAATCTCCTCTGCAGCATCCAGCGCCTTGATATCCTTCCTAAATTGTTGTGCCCAGAATGGGACACAATACTCCAATTGAGGCCTAATCAGTAACTTATAAAGGTTTAGTGGAACTTACTTGCTTCTGTACTCTGTGCCTCCGTTTAGAAAGCCAAGGATCCCATATGCTTTTTAACAACTCCAACAACCTGTCCTGCCACCTTCAAAGAGCTGTGTATGTGAACCCACAGGTCTCTTTGCTCCTGAACCCCATTAAAACTGTACCATTTATTGTATATATTCTTCTTCCTTCATTCTTCCTCCAAAATGCATCACCTCACAATTTTCTGCATTAAACTTCATCTGCCATGTGGCGGGCCCATTTCAACAGTCTGTTTACGTCCTCCTGCAGTTTGCTACTATCCAGGCAGGTCAGGGCAAAACCTCGGGCAAGTTTCCTTACTCCACACAGAGCCTAATAATAATCCTCCAAAACCCAAAACAATAATAAATTGGTCATTTTCATTCTACGACTGTTTGTGGGACATTGCTGTGCGCAATTGGCTGCCGCGTTCGCCCACAAATATACAGTCAATTCACTTTACAGTGTGTTCTGTGAAGCGCTTTGGGACGTCCTCCCGACGTGAAAAGCGCTATATCAAATGCAAGGATTATTATTATTACAGTATATCCTGTGAGGCGCTTTGAGACGTCTCGAAGACATGATGAGGCGCTGTATCAGATGCAAGGATTATTATTATCACTATTGCAGGAGAGGGGTAGGTATCAGCATCTAATAGCACTAGAACAGCTGTCGTTATGCTCCCAATGAACACACTTCGCAAATGGTCTCGTACATTCCAGCTCACAGGCTAACTCGCCTTACACCGTTCACCTCACAGAATCACCTGTGAATTTGCGGAAGATCGCCCAAAGTTCAGCAATGTCGGTGGCAAAGGTAATGTCTGTGTCCAGCACAATGACCTGGCTCAGGTTAGCCGGCAGGACGTTGGTCAGGCCCAGCTTCATCAGTCCGTAAATGCCAGAGTAATGTTTGTTAGGAATCCAGGCGACAATAGGCTGCAGAAAAATCAGCAAAACATTTACATCTCTGACAAGTAGAAAACCTTCATTTCTCTCGGAAAGGCTGCAGGACGCGGGCAGGACATTGGGAATCCCAAAGCCACGGCAGGACCGAAGATCCCAGTTTAACAGACAGGAGTTTACTGCAGTGCTGGACTTTGGAAGGTTAAGCACTGGCTTCAGTCCGGTCTGAAATCCCTATCGTTCTGTCTAAATGTCAAATGTTGGACATCAACTAAGTACACAAATCAGAGCCTCAAACTGCACACAGGGCAGAGAGTGGTGTACACGGGGCAGTGAGGGTAGTGTACACGGGGCAGTGAGGGTGGTGTACACGGGGTAGTGAGAGTGGTGTACACGGGACAGTGAGAGTGGTGTACACGGGGCAGTGAGGGTGGTGTACACAGGGCAGTGAGGGTGGTGTACACGGGGCAGTGAGGGTGGTGTACACAGGGGGCAGTGAGTGGTGTACACGGGGCAGTGAGGGTGGTGTACACGGGGCAGTGAGGGTGGTGTACACGGGGCAGTGAGGGTGGGGTACACAGGGGGCAGTGAGGGTGGTGTACACATGGGGGCAGTGAGGTTGGTGTACACAGGAGCAATGGGGACGGTGTATACAGGGGCAGTGAATACGATGTACACAGGGGCGGTGAGGATGGTGTACACAGATCAATGAGGGTGGTGTGCACAGGGCTGTGAGGGAGGTATACACAGGGCATTGAGGGAGGTGTACACAGGGTACAATGAGGGTGGTGTACATACACAAGGTGCAATGAGAATTTTGTACACGGCAGAGAGGATGGTGTACACGGGTCAGTGAGGGAGGTGTACACAGGGCAGAGAGGGCGGTGTACACAGTAGGTTGTGAGTATGTACAAACAGTGGGCAGTGAGGGTGGTGTACAAAGGGGGCAACAACAACAAGATTGCATTTATAGAGCGCCTTTCACGTCAGGAGGACGTCCCAAGGCGCTGTACAGTTGGGTCAGAACCCGAGCATTGGGGGAAATGGTCAGGGTGAGGGGAGGGAAGGGGGGGAGCGAGGAGGGGGGAATGGAGGCCTTGAAGGAGGAAAGAGAGGAAGCGGCGAAGACATTGGGGGATGGAGTTCCAGAGCCTCGGGGCTGAGGCTGAAGGCCACCGATGTACTCCGATAGGTTGTGAATGTGTACAAACAGTGGGCAGTGAGGGTAGTGTACAAAGGGGGCAGTAAGGGAGGTGTACACAGGGGGCAGTGAGATTGGTGTACACAGTGGCCAGTGAGGGCGATGTACGCACAGGGGGCAGTGGGGATGGTGTACAAAGCAGGCAGTGAGGGTGGTGTACACATGGGGAGCAGTGAATACGGTGTACACAGGGGCAGTGAGGGTGTTGTACACAGAGCAATGAGTATGGTGTAGACAGGGCAATGAGGGTGGCGTACACAGGGCTGTGAGGGAGGTATACCCAGGGCATTAGGGAGGTGTACACAGGGCAGTGGCGATGGTGTACACAGGGCAGTGAGGGTGATGCACACACAGGGCAGTGAGGGTGGTGTACACATGGGGCAGTGAGGATGGTGTACACAGTGATGTGAGGATGGTGTACACAGGGCAATGAGAGTGCTGTACACAAGGGGCAGCGAGGGTAGTGTACGCAGGGCAGTGAGGGTGTTGTACAAAGGGCAGTGAGGGTGGTGTACACAGAGCAGTGTTAGTGGGTTATACGTGTTGCAGTGAGGGTGGTGTACACACGGGGCAGTGAAGGTGGTGTACACAGGGCGCAGTGAAGGTGGTGTACACAGGTGCCGTGAGGAAGGTGTACACAGGGGCAGTGAGGGTGGTGTACACAGGGCATTGAGGGAGGTGTACACAAGACAGTGGCGATGATGTACACAGAGAAGTGAGGAAGCTGTACAAAGGGCAGTGAGGAAGGTGTACACAGGGCAGTGAAGGTGGTGTACACACGGGACAATGAGGGTGATGTACACATGGGGTAGTGAGTGTGGTATACACGAGGCAGTGAGGGTGGTGTACACATGGGGCAGTGAGAGTGGTGTACACAGGGCAGTGAGGGTAGTGTACACAGGGCAGTGAGGGTGGTGTACGCAGGGCAGTGAGGGTGTTGTACACAGAGCAGTGTACACAGGGCAGTGAGGGTAGTGTACACAGGGCAGTGAGGGTGGTGTACACACATTGCAGTGAGGGTGGTGTACACAGGGCACCGTGAGGGTGGTGTACACAGGGCACCGTGAGGGTGGTGTACACAGGGCACAGTGATCATGGTATACACAGGGCACAGTGAAGGTGTGTACACATAGGGGCAGTAAGGGCGATGCACAAAGGGTGCAGTGAGGGAGGTATACACAGGGCATTGAGGGGGGTGTACACAGGGCATTGAGTGAGGTGTACACAAGGCAGCGAGGGTGGTGTACACAGGACAGCGAGGGTGGTGTACACAGGGCAGCGAGAGTGGTGTACACAGGGCAGCGAAGGTGGTGTACACACGAGGCAGGAAGGGTGGTGTACACAGAGTACAGTGAGAGTGGTGTACACGGCACAGTGAGGTCGGTGTACACAGGGCACAGTGAGAGTGGTGTACACAGGGCACAGTGAGGTCGGTGTACACAGGGCACAGTGAGGGTGGTGTACACACAGGGGGCAGTGAAGGAGGTGTACACAGGGCAGTGACAATGGTGTATAGAGGGCAGTGAGGAAAGTGTACACAGGGCAGCGAGGGTGGTCACATGGGGCAGCGAGGCCAGTGGACACAGGGCACAGTGAGGGTGGTGTACACACGGGGGGCAGTGAGGACGGTGTACACAGGGCACAGGTAAGGTGGCGTACACACGGGCAGTGAGGGTGGTGTACACAGGGCACAGTGAGGGTGGTGTACACAGGGCACAGTGAGGGTGGTGTACACAGGGCACAGTGAGAATGGTGTACACACAGGGGGCATTGGTGGTGGTGTACAGGGGCAGTGAGGGTGGTCTACACACGAGGCAGGAAGGGGGGTGTACACAGAGTACATTGAGGGTGGTGTATGTACACAGGGCAGTGTTAGTGGGGTACACATGGAGCAGTGAGGGTAATGTACCCAGGGTTGTGAGGGAGGTGTACACAGAGGGCAGTGAGGGTGGTGTACACACAGCGGGCAGTGAGAGTGGTGTACATAAAGTATGTGATGAGGGTGGTGTACACAGGCCGCAATGAGGTAGGTGTCCACAGGGCAGTGAGGGAGGTGTACACAGGGCACAGTGAGGGGGGTGTTCATACAGGGGGCAGTGAGGTGGTGTACACACAGCGGGCAATGGGGGTGGTGTACACAGGGGGCAGCGAGGGTGGTCTACACACGAGACAGGAAGGGGGGTGTACACAGATCACATTGAGGGTGGTGTACAGAGGGCACAGTGAGGGCGGTGTACACAGGGCACAGTGAGGGAGGTGTACAGAGGGCACAGTGAGGGCGGTGTACACAGGGCACAGTGAGGGGGGTGTACACAGGGCAAAATGAGGGTGGGGTACACTGGGCACAGTGGGGGTGCTGTACACAGGGGGCAGTGGGGGTGCTGTACACAGGGGGCAGTGGGGGTGATGTACACAGGGCAATGAGAGTGGTGTACACAGAGCAGTGTTAGTGGGGTACACATGGGGCAATGAGGGTGATGTACACACAGGGCAGTGAGCATATTCTATACACAGGGCAGTGAGGGCGGTGTACACAAGGCAGTGGGGGTGGTGTACATGGGGCAGCGAGGGTGGTCTACACACGAGGCAGGAAGGGGGGTGTACATAGATCACATATAGGGTGGTGTACATAGGGCACAGTGAGGATGGTGTACAAACATGGGTGGTGTACACGGCACAGTTAGGGAGGTGTACACAGAGCAGATGTACCCAGGTGTACACAGGGCACAGTGAGGCAGGTATACACACGGCACAGTGAGGGTGGTGTACACACAGGGCGCAATGAGGGTGGTGTCACAGGGCAGTGAATGAGGTGTACACAGGGCAGTGACAATGGTGTATAGAGGGCAGTGAGGAAGGTGTACACAGGGCAATGAGGGTGGTGTACACAGAGCAGTGTTAGAGGGCTACACATGGGGCAGTGAGCATATTAGATACACAGGGCAGTGAGGCTGGTGTACACACAGGGGCAGCGTACACAGGGTGTACACGGGGCACAATAAGAGTGGTGTACACAGGGCACAGTTAGGCTCGTGTACACAGGGGGCAGTGACGGTGGTGTACACACAGCGGGCAGCTGGTGTGGTGTTCACAGGGAGCAGAGAGGGTGATGTATAAACGGAGGCAGTGAGGATTGTACACACACAAGGAGCGTTGAGGATGTGGTGTACACACAGGGGGCAGTGGGGGTGCTGTACACGGGGTAGTGAGGGTGTGTACACAGGGCAGTGAGGGTGGTGTTCACAGGGCACAATGAGGGCGGTGTACACAGAGCAGATGTATCCAGGTGTACACAGGGCACAATAGGAGTGGTGTACACACAGGGGCAGTGAGGAAGGTGTACACAGGGCATAGTGAGGGCGGTGTACACAGGGCACAGTGAAGGTGGTGTACACAGGGCACAGTGAGGGTGGTGTTCACAGGGCACAGTGAGGGTGGTGTACATACGGTGCAATGAGGTCGGTGTACATAGGAGCCATTAGGGTGGTGTACACAGGGGCAATGAGGGTGGTGAGCACACAGCAGTGAGGGTGCTGTACACAGGGCATTGAGGAAGGTGTACATAAGGCAGTAAAGATGGTGTACACAGGGCATCGAGGGTGGTGTACACAGGGCAGTGAGTGTGGTGTACACAGAGTAGTGTTCGTGGGGTACACATGGGGCAGTGAGGGTGATGTACATACGGGGCAGTGAGGGTGGCGTACATAGGGGGCAGTGAGGATGGTGTACACGGGTAGTGAGGGTGGTGTACAGTGAGGGTGGTGTACACACAAGGGGAAGTGAGGGTATTTACACAGATCATAGTGAGGGTGGTGTACACACCGGGCGCAGTGAAGGTAGTGTACACAAAGGGTGTGGTGAGGGCGGTGTGCACATAGAAGGCAGTGGAGGTGGTGTACAAGCGTGCAGTGAGGGTGCTGTACATAAAGGATGCGGTGAGGGTGGTGTACACACAGGGGGCAGTGAGTGTGTGTACACAGGGCAGTGAGTGAGGTGTACACAGGGCAGTGACCATGGTGTATAGAGGGCAGTGAGGTAGGTGTACAGATGAGGTAGGAAAGGTAGTGTACACAGAGCACAGCGAGGGTGGTGTATACAGGGCAGCGAGGGTTGTGTACACAGGGCACAGTGAGGGTGGTGTACACACGGGGCAGTGAGGGTGGTGTACAGAGGGGATAGTGAAGGTGGTGTACATAGACGGCAGTGAGGGTGGAGTACATAAGGTGCAATGAGGACGGTGTACACAGGGTCGTGAGGATGGTGTACACAGGAGCCATTAGGGTGGTGTATACAGGGGGCAGTGAGGGTGGTGTACACACAGGGGGCAGTGAGGGCGTGTACGCAGGGCGCAGTGAGGGTGGTGTACACAAAGGGTGTGGTGAGCGTGGTGTACACATAGGGGGCAGTGACAGTGGTGTACATAAAGATGCGGTGAGTTTGTGTACACACGGAGCAGTGAGGGTGTGTACAGAGGGGACAATGAAGGTGGTTTACATAGACGGCAGTGAGGATGGTGTACACAGGACCGTGAGGGTGGTGTACACAGGGCAGTGAGGGTGGTGTACACAAGGGGCAGTGAGGGTGGTGTACACACAGGGGGCAGTGAGGGTGGTGTACACATAGGGGGCAGTGAGGGTGATGTACATAAAGATGCGGTGAGGGTTGTGTACACACGGAGCAGTGAGGGTGTGTACAGAGGGGACAGTGAAGGTGGTTTACATAGACGGCAGTGAGGATGGTGTACATAGGGTGCAATGAGGATGGTGTACACAGGAGCCATTCGGGTGGTGTACACAGGGGCAGTGAGGGTGATGTACACAGGGCAGTGGGGATGGTGTACACAGGGCAGCGAGGGTGGTGTACACACAGGGCAGTGAGGGTGGTGTACACAGGGTAGCGAGGGTGGTGTACACAGGGGGCAGTGGGTGTCCTTTACACAGGGGCAGTAAAGCTGTTGTACACATGGGTCAGTGAGGGTGGTATACACAGAGCAGTGATGGTGGTGTACACAGGGGACAGTGAGGGTGATGCACATACATGGGGCAATGTACACAGGGTAAAGAGGGCAAGATGAGGGTGTTGTACACAGGGTGCACTGAGGTTAGTGTACACAGGGCACAGTGCGGGTGTTGCACACACAGGGGTTAGTGAGTGGGGTATACACGGGGCAGTGAGGGTGATGTGCACATGGGTGGCAGTGAGGGTGGTGTACATACTGGGGGCAGTGAGGGTAGTGTACACATGGGTGTCAGTGAGGATGGTGTACACAGGGGCAATGAGTATGGTGTACGCAGTTGCAGTGAGGGTGATATACACAGAGCAGTGATGGTGATGTACATAGGGCAGTGAGGGTGGTGTACACAGGGCAATGAAGGTGGTGTACACAGGGCAGTGAGGGTGGTGTACACAGCGGTCAGTGAGTGTCGTTTACACAGAGGGCAGTAAGGGTGTTGTACACACGGGGCAGTGAGGTTGGTGTACAGAAGGCAGTGAGGCTGGTGTACACAGGGCACAGTGATGGTGGTGTACACAGCAGACAGTGAGGGTGATGCACATACAGGGAGCAATGTACACAGGGTGTTCTCAGGGTGCAGTGAGGGTGGAGTTCACAGGGCAGCGAAGGTGGTGTACACAGGTCATTGAGAGTGGTTTACATAGAGCAGCAAAGGTGCTGTACACAGTGCAGTGAGGGTGGTGTACACAGGGCAATGAGGGTGGTGTATAATAGGTAGTGAGGGTGGTGTACACAGAGCAGTGATGGTGGTGAACACAGGGCAGTGAGTACCGTTCACACAGGGCAGTGAGGGTGGTGTACATAGAGCAGTGATGGTGGTGTACACAGAGCAGTGATGGTAGTGTACACATGGGGCAGTGAGGGTGGTATACACAGGGAACATTGAGGTGATGCATATTCAGGGGGCAGTGAGGGTGGTGCACACGGTGGGCAATGAGGGTGATGTGCACATGGGTGGCAATGAGGGTGGTATACATACGGGGGGCAGTGAAGGTGGTGTACACACGGGTGTCAGTGAGGACAGTATACGCAGGGGCAATGATTACGGTGTATGCAGGTGCAGTGAGGGTGGTGTTCACATGGCAGTGAAGACGGTGAACACAGTGCATTGACAGTGGATACACACGGAGGTTAATGTACACACGGGGCAGTGAGGGCAGCAAGGGTTGTGCACACAGGGCAGCGAGGGTAGTGTACACAGGGCAGTGAGGGTGGTGTACACAGGGCAGTGAGGGTGGTGTACACAGGGTAGTGAGGGTGGTGTACACAGGGCAGTGAGGGTGGTGTACACGTGGGGCAGTGAGCGTGGTGTACACAGAGTGGTGAGGGTGATGTACACAGGGCAGTGAGGATGGTGTACACAGGGCAGTGAGGGTGGTGTACACAGGGCAGTGAGGATGGTGTACACAGGGCAGTGAGGATGGTGTACACAGGGCAGTGAGGATGGTGTACACAGGGCAGTGAGGATGGTGTACACAGGGCAGTGAGGATGGTGTACACAGGGCAGTGAGGATGGTGTACACAGGGCAGTGAGGATGGTGTACACAGGGCAGTGAGGGTGCTGTACAAGTGGGGCAGTGAGCGTGGTGTACACATGGGGCAGTGAGGGTGGTGTACACAGGGTGGTGAGGGTGATGTACACAGGGCAGTGAGGATGGTGTACACAGGGCAGTGAGGATGGTGTACACAGGGCAGTGAGGGTGGTGTACACATGGGGCAGTGAGCGTGGTGTACACATGGGGCAGTGAGCGTGGTGTACACATGGGGCAGTGAGGGTGGTGTACACAGGGTGGTGAGGGTGATGTACACAGGGCAGTGAGGATGGTGTACACAGGGCAGTGAGGATGGTGTACACAGGGCAGTGAGGATGGTGTACACGGGGCAGTGAGGATGGTGTACACGGGGCAGTGAGGATGGTGTACACAGGGCAGTGAGGATGGTGTACACAGGGCAGTGAGGATGGTGTACACGGGGCAGTGAGGATGGTGTACACGGGGCAGTGAGGATGGTGTAGACAGGGCAGTGGCCTCTGGTACCACATGGCAATGTTTTGCACAGAATGTGGAAATTCCTTAAATTCAGCTTTAATTTGATGACATTTGTCAGATCCCAAATTAACTGTATTTAAGAATTATCCCCAATTTTAAGACAATATGTATTCGGCTCTCCAGGGAATTGTGGACCTCTAATGTCCACATATTTGCAAAGATTTACAAAGAATGTACAGCATGGAAACAGGGCTTTTGTCTCATTCCTTCTCCCTCCCATACCCTTCTACCCCCATCTCCCTCATGTGAAGGTCAAGTTTCACGCTGATACCATTTGATTCAATCATGTCTTCAGGCATCGTAGAACTGGAGGGGATGGGGTCACTGAATATGATCAGTAATGGGAACTTTGTCTAAGTTTCCCCCATTCTCTTGTCCAAAGGCCCTGAGATCAACTATAGCCCTGAACTGTCAGATAGAAACTCAGTCAGCGCACGGATCAGAACTTCACACTTTCCCAGTCGGTCCTGTCCTGTCCTGTCCCTGCCCTGTCCCTGTCCCTGTCCCTGTCCTGCCCTGTCCCTGTCCCTGTCCTGCCCTGTCCTGCCCTGCCCTGCCCAGTCCTGCCCTGCCCTGCCCTGCCCTGCCCTGTCCTGTCCTGTCCTGCCCATCCTGCCCTGCCCTGCCCAGTCCTGCCCTGCCCTGCCCTGTCCTGTCCTGCCCATCCTGCCCTGCCCTGCCCTGCCCTGCCCAGTCCTGCCCTGCCCAGTCCTGCCCTGCCCTGCCCTGCCCTGCCCAGCCCTGCCCTGCCCTGCCCAGTCCTGCCCAGTCCTGCCCTGCCCTGCCCTGCCCAGTCCTGCCCTGCCCTGCCCTGCCCTGCCCTGCCCTGCCCAGTCCTGCCCAGTCCTGCCCTGCCCTGCCCTGCCCTGCCCAGTCCTGCCCTGCCCTGCCCAGTCCTGCCCTGCCCTGCCCTGCCCTGCCCTGCCCTGCCCAGCCCTGCCCTGCCCTGCCCTGCCCTGCCCTGCCCAGTCCTGTCATGCACTGCCCTCTCGCTGCCCTGTCCTGTGCTCACACTGGAACTTTAAAGCATTCCCAAATGTTACCTTCAACTCATCTGCATCATAAAAACTGATGTATACAGAGGGAACCATCCAGGTCTGGAACAGTTTGCTGAGGATCCTGTACGCCACCGCATCCGTGATGAAATGGAAATATAGTGGGTTCTTTCTGTGAGAGATTAAACAGTGTTTCACTAACCCTAACCTGACAGACATAATCTTGCTGTTGTGCAATTCCTGTTGTGATTTAATTAAACTTAGATATTGTTATTCAATTTAAAGTCCTGTCAGTCTTATATACCATACCTGAATACTGTGTTGCGAGGTGGGAGTAAGAAACATCTTTAAATTTTGACTCTGGTGGTATTTGATAAGAGTTAGTATTCCCACCATAAGTTAGCTGCATCTTCTGCTCTCCTATTAACACCACCATTCGCTGCTCACTGTGGCAGTCGCAAGCTATAGAATCATAGAATTATACAGCACAGACGGAGGCCATTCGGCCCTGATCAGCCCCACTCCCCGCTCTCTCCCCATAGCCCTGATCAGCCCCACTCCCCCACTCTCTCCCCATAGCCCTGATCAGCCCCACTCCCCCACTCTCTCCCCATAGCCCTGATCAGCCCCACTCCCCCACTCTCTCCCCATAGCCCTGATCAGCCCCACTCCCCCACTCTCTCCCCATAGCCCTGATCAGCCCCACTCCCCCGCTCTCTCTCCATAGCCCTGATCAACCCCACTCCCCGCTCTCTCCCCATAGCCCTGATCAACCCCACTCCCCCGCGCTCTCCCCATAGCCCTGATCAACCCCACTCCCCGCTCTCTCCCCATAGCCCTGATCAACCCCACTCCCCCGCTCTCTCCCCATAGTCCTGATCAACCCCACTCCCCCACTCTCTCCCATAGCCCTGATCAACCCCACTCCCCCGCTCTCTCCCATAGCCCTGATCAACCCCACTCCCCGCTCTCCCTATAGCCCTGATCAACCCCACTCCCCCCCACTCTCCCCATAGCCCTGATCAACCCCACTCCCCTGCTCTCTCCCCATAGCCCTGATCAACCCACTCCCCCGCTCTCTCCCCATAGCCCTGATCAACCCCGCTCCCCGCTCTCTCCCCATAGTCCTGATCAACCCCACTCCCCGCTCTCTCCCCATAGCCCTGATCAACCCCACTCCCCCGCTCTCTCCCCATAGCCCTGATCAACCCCACTCCCCCACTCTCTCCCCATAGCCCTGATCAACCCCACTCCCCCGCTCTCTCCCCATAGCCCTGATCAACCCCACTCCCCCGCTCTCTCCCCATAGCCCTGATCAACCCCACTCCCCCGCGCTCTCCCCATAGCCTGCAAACTTGTCTTCCCCAAATAATTATCTACTTCTCTCTTAAAAGTTGTTTATGGAATCGGCTTCCACCAGCCTTTAGGCAATTCCAGATCCAACAACTCGCTGTGAAAACATTTCTCCTCCCCTTGCCTCTGTTCATTTTAACAACTATTTTAAAT